CAGGTCAGAGAGCCAGACCTGCTCTGAGAATGGCCATGCTGGAGGTTTCCTTTGACAGAGTACAGTGATAGCGGCATCATTGTCTTTTGATAGAATTTTGAGCTGCAAGGTTGAAAAGGGGTTTGAGAAGTGACGTTGCAGCAGGAAGGCCAGGCAGGAGGTGACCACAGAGGTGGAGGTGAGAGCAGGGACCAGCGGAAGGGAGTGCGACTCCAGCACCAGCAGGGAGTGTAGACCCACGACTGTGAGAGGTGGGAGGGAGGCCTCAGATCCAAGGATCTCCGGCTGTAGCCTTTGGAAATGCTGTGTGGGGAAGTGTTGCGACTGAGTTCAGGAATCTGGAGAGGCAAGTGTGTGTCTGCGGGGAGCTGATATGCAGCCCCCGGGGCGGTCAGTGAGCCCTGCAATCACACGGATGGCCTGGGCCCTGAGAGGGGCGCAGGAGTGAACTTCGGGGATTCCCCTCACGTCACTGAGGCCACCTAACCCACCGGAGGACGCCAACGCCCTATTTAGAATCTCATGCGGCCCCCAGCTCAATACCTTACCTATTTCTGCGTTAACAAATCACTTTTTGTGCCAGGCCCTGTGCTGAGCCCGGAACAGAGAGAACACTTCCTCAGCAGTGTCCTGGGCAGGAGGAAATGCGGACACCCGAGTTCCTGACAACGGTTACTCCTGTCATACAGGCTCTCTGGGGAACAATGAGTTCTAGAGAAGGTTTATGGACACATGGCCCAAGCTGGCATGAAAAGGACAGGCAATGGTGCCTGGGTGGCTCAGCGGTTAAGCCTCTGCCTTTGGATCAGGTCATGATCTCAGGATCCTGGGATCAAGGCTGCATCGGGCTCCCTGCTCCGTGGGGAGCCTGCTTCCCCCTACCCCTGCCTACCTCTCTGCCTACTTGTGATCTCTCTCTCTGTCAAATAAATAAATAAAATCTTTAAAAAAAAAAAAGGAATATTTTAAAAAAAGAAAAGGATAGGCAGAACCCTGATAATGGAAAGAAATGCTCGGGACCAACATTGCACCCAAGGCAACCTATAACATGTGGCACCAGGTAGCCGAGCTGATGGCTGGGTATAGACAGAGCTGTGGTTAAAGCAAGTGGAAAGTCCTTTCAGGGACAGAGCTGCCTGGGGCCCGGCTGTGCATTCAATGGCACACCCGACTCGGTGTGACTCCATCAGGCCCAGAAGACAGCCAAACTGCCTCTCCATTTCAGAGTCGTACTGAATTGGAGTTCTCTGGAGAAACGGAGCCAGTGGGAGGTATGTTTCCATCTCTAGCTACGTCTCTGCATCTGTCATTGATCAATCAGTTGATCTCTGTGTCGAGGGAGAGGGGGAGACATTCATTTTAAGGAGCTGGCTCAGCCATGAGGGCCGGCAGGTCTGATGGGCACAAACGGAGCTGCGGGCTGCGCACTCAGTAAGTGTTGGTGTTGACAAGCGGGTCTGACGGCTGGAGACTCAGACAGGGCTTCCATGTCGTCTTGGGGAGAATTCCCTCTTCTTTGGGAAACCGTAGTCTTTGCTCTCAAGGTCTTCGTCGGATTGGCTGAGACCCAGGACATATGAACTGCTTTACTCGATTCAAGTAATTGTAAGCAGTGATCACATCTGAACAATCTGTGAACATTAATCCCATCTAGTCCACCAATGTCCAGACCAGAGTATGAGCGGACACGGGCACCGCCGTGTGGGGCGCCGTCTTCCCCAACTTACATGGGGGTCCTGCAAGGAATGAAGGCATGAAGTCTGGACACCACTGGAACCCTAGGGGTGTGGAAGCCCTCTGGCTTCCTTTCTTCTAAAACGTCAGGAGAGTTGCCTTTCAGGGGCTGTGAGGCCAAAATTCAATATTTTGTCATTAATCATTTCAAAGGTTTAAAGTCTAGACTGTCGCTGCTGCTCATATCAAAGCCCGCTGGGCTGATTTTGAACTCTTTCGGATGTCTGCTAGTGGGGGTATCTTGTAGCGAGGCTACACATGTCATTAGCAGCTCTCGGCGTGGAGTGGATGGTCACACTCCCCACGCAGATGCCACCCAGCAGCGGCAGGGGCCAGCAGCAGCCCGAGGACAGAGCGAGGGGACGGGAGGAGCAAGACACTTACCTGCGGACCTGCTGGCGACCACACAGAGTCCGGGAATTATTGTTAGCCTAGAAAAAGATTACACTTCATAAAACCCATGTTTATTCAAAAAAATCTATTCAGAAAGTCTGGAAAGCGTAATAAATATCTGTATAGTCGCTGCCCATCTCAAACATAAAACACAAAGCGTGAACATAATGACCTATAAACACAGATGCAGGCTTGTAAACAAAGTGCCGAGTCGGGTCAGGGTAGGAAGCTCCTCGGGCCACCAGCGGCGGAGAGTCCACGTCTCCCACGGCTCTGCCCGGGCTCTGCAAACCCACGCTGGGTGCTCCTCCGTCTTCTCTCCACCAGGGAGCTGCAGCGTCCTTTTCCACTCGAGAATTTTAAGGACTCTTGGAGAGGTGAGGGGCAACGAAACCATTTGGAAAGGAAAACAGAGTGCAAATCAAGTTCATCATGTGCTTGAGAGAATCAGTCAAGTGTGAGGCCAAAGTCTCACCGCGCGGCTGCAGGAACAACACCGTTTAATGATCAATACTGGCTACCATGAAGCACTACTATCGTTTAAAACGTTGGACAATCTTCCAGGCATCAAGACACGCAAGGTTAGGTTAAAATCACAGACAATCTGACCTAAGGATACAGATGAAACCTCACTCTTGCCCAAATTTGACTTGGGGATGGCATCCGGCAGAGCCCCCGCCCCGCCGGGGTGAGACAGGTGTTCCTGTCAAACAGGGGGGCTTACAGGGGGGCGAGACCACAGTGGGCTCCCTGGGGGGACTGTGGGGCGGTGGGGGAGGAGGCCTGAGGGCCAGGGCTCGGTTTTCTCATGAGAGTCTGTGGGGCTGTGATCCGGAGGGGGACGGTTCCACCATCTGTGGGGCAGCGATCTGACTCCCCGCGGTCTGGCCGCCTGTGCAAAGCCCCTGGAGCCTCTCAGGGCTGGCGGGGGAGCCCCGCACAGGGCAAGTGAAAGGGGAAGTCACCCTTCCTCCACGCTGATACTGCTCAGAACGCACAGCCACTGGCTCTTCCACTGAAGACCTCGGAGCTGGGTTTCAACTGTGGTACCGACTTCTCTAGGCTGACTTTCTGGAAGGGTTTCAAGTGTCGCTGTGGCCTGGAGAAGGTGCGCCAAATGGCGGTATCTGACAGACATTCAAGTAGAGTTGGTTCATCCTGACAGGTGCCCGTGGGGTCTCTGCCGCCACCACTGCCGGCCCCCGCCCTTGGCTAAGGGCACGACTTGGTGCAAGGTGAGCCCCCAGGTCGCTCTGCGACTCCCGGAGTGGCAGGTGGGGGCTGCGTGCGTGGTGGCACTGAGTGAGGGGAAGAGCAGGGGCGGCGGTGTGCAGAGAGAGCCCGCTGGCCCCTCTCCCTGTTGCTCCCGGGCTCCTCCGTCCGCAGGCCTGCGTCCCTCCGCACTCGGACTCTCCGTGAGCAAACCAGCAGCCGGGCGGCACCCCGCGGCCGCAGGAGCCCTGGAGCCGTGGCCCCGCAGCAGACAGAAGGTGTGATGACCTCGGTGGCTTGCTGGGAGGGCAAAACCGTGAGCTATCGGCTATCGTGAGCTACTGATAGCTAAGGGCTATCCAGTTTCTCCTAAGCTTCTAATCATAGATCAAATAATTCAGACCTAAAACAAAACTGTTGGGAACCAAGCCTTTGTGGCCTTGGGGAAAAGCAATTTCCAGTGAGAAAATATGGGAGCTGCCTCAGGAGGCTTTGTGGGAGGGAAGCCAATGGCGACCCTGCCCCCACCTTTCCTTCTGGTGGTTCTCCGAGCGGGGAGAGAGGCTCACAGAATAACAGGTGCTTCTGAAACAAGGTCACAGTTTAAGGTCCAAGCACACTTGGAACAAGCTAAGCAGTTATGCCCAGGATGCCACATGTTGCTTTTGTTTTTGTCTTTTCGAGGTGTGTGGCTGGTTGAGATGGGAACGAAGAACGAGGAAACAGGTCTTCCTAGTAAGATCAGCAGAGGACCACAGGCGCCCCGCATCCCGCCAAGGGCGGCGGGGAGTCCTGGGCCGGCCTGGGGGCTCCCCCAGTGGGGCTGGGGGAGGACACTGAGGGCCACACGCTCTCTCCCCTCCTGTCCAGCAGGGGCGCCCTGCCTGTCCCGGTTTCATTTAAGATGCGCATGGCCCCTCCCGTGTGCGCCCCTCCCTGTGGAAAACATCAAATGTCACCACAACATTAGGTGAAAAACGGAAACACAAACGCAACACAAAAGCACAGCTTCTACAAAGTGCATGGTGCCCCGGGTCACCCATCTTCTGGCTCCTCTCCGGGCCCCAGTGTGGCAGCAGGACCTCCCGTCCCCCGGCCTGGCTGCAGTGGGGCTGGGAGTGCGCCTGGAAGGGAGGAACAGAGCTCAGGGTTCCCTGTGCTCGCAGACCTCCTGCGGCCCAGAGAGGGGAAGGCAAACAGCAAAAACACTGCTTTGGGATGAAAGCACGTGGGGCTGACAGAAGACCGCGACCAGCCGACCAGCCGTTGGGCCCAACGCGTTCTCTCAGAACCTCTGGGCGGCCTTGACCACCGCTAGAGCCAGGGTGGGGGCGTGGACCCCCAGCCCTGCAGCCCCGGCCGTGGGGGGACAAGAACACAGGGCAGGGGGCACAGGCTGTCCCTGGCTCCTCCCCAGGGACGCGCCATTCTTGTGAAAAGAGGCTCCCAAAGCAAGGATGCCACCTGCTGGTTCCGGGCTCTTCCCCCACGTGGGTCGGCTACCTGGAGAGGACACCCAGCACCTCAGTCTGGAAGAAGGGCGATGGGACGAGGGCTCTTTGGATCAACTGGAGGGGACCTGACATCTACTCCTGGGTGCCATGTGCTGACCCCATCCTCCTGGCAACACCATACCGCAGAGGCCAGCCCCTCCTGGGGGGGGAGGGGGCTGTGCTGGGAGCCGGTCAGCGCATCCGCCCACCCGAATCGCGGGGACGTGTGTGTCGGAAACCTGACCCCCTTACTGGCTTTATCATTGGAAAAAATATCTCTCTATATAAATATAAGCCGTGATCATAAAAGACCTACAGAGCCCGAAGGAACCCTACAGGCACTGCTCATGGTGGTGTGCAGTGAAGTGAGTCCGTCTGGCTGGCTCGGGGCAGGGAGGCAGCAGGGTTGGCACAGCGAGGCGCTGGGAGGTCGCCGGTCTGGATCCATTCAGGCTGAACAAGAGAACGTGGAATGAGCGGAGGCTCCTGGGCCTTCGAGACGGGCACGGTCACCCTGGCAGTGCCCGGGACGGGAGCCCCGGCCAGCGCCCGCCAGCCCAGGACGCTCTGCAGGGCGTGCTCGCACTATAGCCTCGTGGACGTGAGTCTCTTCATGCCCCTGCGCTGGGCCAGGCCAGACGACAGCACCGGCTCCAGCCGCGGGGCCTGGGGAGTTCTGTTCAGAGCGAAGTAGGTGGCAGCCATGGCACCCTGGAAGGAAGGGAGAGGGCAGGTGACTGTGGTGCCCACACACTTCCGAGTGGGGCGGCCTCTGGACGCCTCTGAACCTTGGTCTCCCCACCAAAGCGCCCTGAGCTGGCGGGGTCCAGCACGCTCCGGGCCTCCTGAATAAAAGCGGTTTTGTTCTCTGACCATCCCACACCTGCCTTCAACTGTGCGTGTGGCCCGGGGTGTCTCAGGGAGCCCCTGGATGAGATCCCACGATCCCTGCCCTATGTTACCTTCCACACTAGCCAGATTTTAGAAGACGGGCTTTACCCTCCAAGGACTGAGACCCGGGAGTGATGTAGCCTCCGTCCTCCCCACGAAGCTCCAAGCATCCTCCACCAAGCATGTGAGGCAGAACACGCTTGTGCCTGCAGTGTAGACCTTCCAGTCCTCGGGACGTCTGTCCGTCCGTCTACATGGCACCACAGGCGCAGGTGCATCATGACCGAGGTGGGCAGGGACCGCTGCCTGGCTATGGTCAGGTCTGAGGACGCCTGGCTTTGGTGACTCTGATCACGGTTGGACCGCACGGGCAGAGCTTGTGAGGCTGGGACCATCGGGCGGCGAGCGTGCACCCAGATCCGTTCACTTCCTGCTATTCTGTTGCTGAAAACCTCGGGATCCCTGGGACTGAGACCGTCTCCCTGATGGCAGGTGTGTCCTGATCTCTGTTCCCTTGACAGCCCTGAGTCTCCGTCAGGGGGTTCGCATGTCAGAATGCTCTAGAGCAAGCTGTCTAGCCAGGTTCCACGAAGCCTGTGCCCTGGAAAGTGTCTCAGGAAAATGAAGTGAGACGGTGTGCGACGGGGGCGGCAGACCCTTGCCCTCGGGCCCAGTGCAGGGCCCCTGTTCCTGCGGACCAGCTTCTCCTGAGGCCCAGCTGCCCCTGGCCACTTGCCGGCTGTATGCGGGCATGTCTGTGCTCCACCAGGGGATTCGAGGAGGAGCGGCAGAGACGTCTGGCTCTGGAAGCCTCCAGCCCTCACAGTCTGGGCCCCTGCACAGAAGTCCGTAGACCTCTGCTCTAGAACCCAGGGCTTCGGAGCCTGGAATTGGTGCCGATGTGCGACTCCCTCCACCTCTCTCTCTCTCCCCCTCTCTCCTGCCCCATCTGTCTGTCTGTCTCTCCTACTTTCTGTCTCCCTCTCTCCTTCTGTGTCTGTCTCTGTCCCAAACATGTACATGTGCCTGCCACACACACGCACGCACACACACACATGCGCACACACCCGTGCACACACGTACGCACACACGCACTCGCGCGCGCACACACACACACACACGCACACAATGAATCACAAGATTGTCACCAGAAGCTGTAACTTACTCGGAATTTCGTGTGTGATTGCTTGTATGTGTACAAATGTGTAGAACTAAATAAATTAGGGAGACCTGTTTGTGCCTCTTACTGGTTCCCCATCTGGTTCTCGTGTCGTGGTTACTTTAGGTTAATTGTGGGGGATCAGGGCGACTTTCCTGAACCCCCCACCCCCGGCATCTCGCTCTCACGGCTCCCTGTCTGCACCTTCACCAGGTGGACGTCCTGTCTGCTGAGCTGGCTCTGGGACAGGTACTCTCTGTTCACGATCCACGGGTGTTTCAGGACTTGAACCGCTGTCAGGCGCTGATGAGGGTCTACGTGGAGCATCTTGGACACGACATCCTGCGGGGGCGACAGCAGAAGCTGGTCCAAAGAACTTCCTGAGCCAAATCCCTTCATTCCCTCCCACGGCAAAGCCTCACCGTTGTTCTGACCGATTCTCTGCCCTGATGGGGGAGGGGGAGTCCAAAGTTTACTTTCAGCTTTAAAAGTACGTGAATGATTTTTGAATTTTAATTATCATCACCTTGATGGCTCGCCTCAGGTTTTTATCGTACTAAAGGTTTGATATGCAAAGAGAAATCAAATGTAGAAATGTTGGATGGTGCATGTAATTTATCGAACTGCTCTTTTAGTAAAAATGACTAACCACAGACATAAACAGTGATGACAGTGCATGTGGTGACATTTTGATTAGCCCAGTCCACAGACGTTTGCTACAAATCGGCACCAGCCACAGAACTGTCCGTCTGGAGCCATTACGTGGGTCCAACGGGCTCATGTCCCATAGGGATGATTTTCTTACGTGACTGTAAGATAATCACAATAAAGATTCCTAGGACTGTGACTTAAAGACAAAGCTTCCCTTCACGTTCATTCGTGGCACTATATGCACACGTGTGTGCATACACATGCACACACACAGTTATAAGTATGATGTCCATCTCCATGGCATTCGTGACGCTCTCTGCACATGCATCGTGGGTCCTTTCTTAAGACTCATTGGGATTGTCCTTGGGGGAAAGAGGGCCAATGTCACTGTCCCCATTTTGCAGATGAAGACACTGACATTTACAGTGATCAAACAATTGCCCAAGGAAGACCCGTGATGAGAATCCGTGCTTTCCTACTAGCCTGCTCATCTTCCTCTAGCATTTCTGTGACATTTCACAGGGAAGTAAGAGTTAGCATGGACATCAGATGATGATGATGTTCTCAACAGAATTTTTGGTCATAAACCACAACAGAGAAATACTACAGACTAATCCAATATCCTTTTTTAAACAGAGAAATCTAAGGCCTTTTAATATTTGGTAACACCGATCTTAGTAACTTCTTGGAACAAATAACTCTTGGAATCAGTATTGTTCCCATTTCCCACGTACACAACTGAAAGCAGAGAGACCTATTTTGTTTGCTTAAGATCTCATAGTAAAGCAACGTTTCTATGAAGGACATGCAAGATGTGCAGTAACAACACACAAATCCATAGACTTCATCAGATTTTGGAGAACTGGAGGTTTTGTCATATGTTTGGGGAACATGGCGGGGGAAGGCAGGTGGCAGATGGGGCAGAAGATACAGTGGCGACGTTGTCACGGTCGCAGGAGGCAATGAAGCCCTCTGCCTGCAGCAGCAATCCTGGTACTTGACTTGATTGCTTTCCTGACACCTTTTCTCTGCTCCCCCACTCCTGCTTCCAAGGTTTCTCATAAAATTTCTCATAAAGAAACCACCAGCACCTGAGTCCTGGTCTACTTTGGGAACCAGAACTAGACAATTCCTATACTCCTTTGAGACAGAATGGATGGATGGGATCACTGGGACCATCAGGGTCTGACACACAAGAAATGCTCCCTAAATGCCAGCTGCCTTCTTCTCTCCCAGCACCTCTTCCATGAACTTCATCAACACCTCTGCCACCTGCTTCACTGTCCCCTCTGTCATCGGTTCAACCGTCTTCTCTACTGTCTCTTCTATATCTCCTCCACCATCTCTTCCATCATCTTTTCCACCATCTTCTCTGCCACTCCCTCCACCATCATCTCTACTATCTTCTCCCCCATTTCCTCCACCACCTCCTTCACCATGCCCTGTCATCTCCTCCATCATTTTTCTCCACCATCTCTTCCACCATCATCCCTGCCACCTCCTCTACCATCTTCTCCACCATCTCCACCATGACCTTCATCATTACCTCCACCACCATCTCTACCATCTTTTCTGCCATTTTCTCTATGTCATCTCCTCCATCATTTTCCCCACTGTCTCTTCCATATCTCCTCCACCAACACCTCCACCATGACCTCTGTTATCACTTCCACCATCATCTCTGCCACCTCCTTCACCATCTTCTCTGCCAACCCATTATCTCCTCCATCATTTCCATAACCTCCACCTCCACTTCCACCATCTCCTGTACCGTCTCTTCTACCATCACCTCCACCATCATTTCTACCATCTTCATCATCCCCTCTGCCATCTGCTCCATCGTCTTCTCCATCGTCACTTCCACCATGACCTCTGTCATCATTTTCACCATCATTTCTGCCACCTCCTCCACCATCTTGTCCACCATCTCCTCCACCATCTTCTCAACCATCACCTCCACCACCTCCTGCATCATCTCCTCTACCATCACCTCTACTGTCTCCACCATTGTCTCTACCACCTACTCTATCATCTCTCTCATCACTTCTGCCATCTCCTCCATCACCTTCTCCATTATCAATTTCACCACCATCTCTACCATCTCCCCCACTATTTCTTCTACCATCACCTCTACCATCATTTCTATCATCTCCACAATCCCCTCTACCAACTGCTCCATCATCTTCTCTGCCACCTCCTCCACCATCCCCTCTGCCATTTCTGTATGAGATCACACAGTGATGACTATGGCAGCACTAGAATCAGAACCCCAGATGGTCTACATCTTTCCCAGTCATTTTACAGTAACACAGGAAATAGACTGTTGATACTCATGGTTGTGTGATCATGTACTATTTAACTAGAGAGGAACTGATGATCTCAACTGAAAAAGACTAAGTCTGATGTCTCTTTAAACAAGGTTGGTCACATATAGTGAAGCTGCAGGGAAGCCCCAGTGCAGAGTTTTAGAGTAACAGAAACACACGTCTGTCACAGAGTCCCTCCTGATCAGTCTGTGGTCACTCAGGGCACTCAGTTGGCAGCATCTCTAAAAGCACGACAGTTCTTTTATGTGTCAACTTGGCTAAGCCATGGTGCCCAGTGTTTGGCCGATCACCAGTCTAGATGTTGCTGTAGATGAGATTAACAATGAAATCCATCAACCTGGAGTAAAGCAGATGACCCTCCTTGATGTTGGTGGGCCTTATCCAATCAGTTGAAAGCCTTAAGATAAAAAAGACCAGGGTTTCCCAAGGAAAGGGAAGTCCGCCAGCAGATGGGCTTCGGACTCAAGCTGCAATGCCAACTCTTCCCTGAGTTTGCAGCCAGCTGACCTACTCTGTAGATGTTAGACGTATCAGCCTCCACAGTCTTATGAAGGGATTCTTAAAAACAAGTCTTTCTCTCTCTGTTTTTACCCACGTCCTATTGGTTCTGTTTCTCTGGAGAACCCTAGTATACCAAGACAGTAGAAATGTGGAAAGGGCTTTAACAAAAGTTTTGCAAAAAGATTTTTTTTTTTTTTAGTTGAGAAGCTAAAAATAATCTACAAAATACTGAGTTGTTTAAATGAAAGATATCCTCTAGCTTCCTCCCAGATACAAAGGTTGATACAGAAACTCCACCCCTGAGCGCAGGAAACACCGACCTTCGCCGCATCGGAGATTGAGTCCCAGTTCCCCCCGGAAAGGGCGTACTTCCCGCTGCCAATCCGTGCCAGGATCTCCTCAGGAGTGTCATCCGGTCCGTTTGCAAATGGGGTAAATCTGCGCAAGGAGAGAACGCATCGTTCTCAGCTCCCATTTTATGACCTACAGTAAAGATCATAGCCTGATATTGTCTCTTTTTGTTGTTGTTCCTTGTTTTTTTAAAAGTAGGCTCCACATCTAATGCGGAAACCAACGTGGGGCTTGAACCCACAAACCTGAGAGCAAGAATGAGCGAGATCAAGAGTCAGATACTTCACCGACTGAGCCACCCAGGCAGCCCTGCCTCTCTGTTGTTAAAAAGAATAGCTCTTTCTTTGCCATCAAGCTCCAAATTCAGGAGTCATAGGCAAGTGTCACTTATTTCTTTTGCTGTGTCCATCTTCCTAACTCGGACTATGGTGTAGGTCAATAAGGCTAGTGTAGAAAGCCCTGTGGACCCAAGCTGAGCGTCCCTGGACCAGTCCTGGCTCCCCTGGCTACCGCGTTATGGTGGCTGGCCTGGTCACTCGGTTCCCATGGTGAGACTGAGGTATGATGGAGGAGAGACTGGGATCTGGAGTCTGAAAGGCCCATGGTTGATCTATTAACTCTGTTCTCTGACAAATTAATTTTTGAACACTCAACTGCACAACGGGTAGAATCATACACTCACAGGGACCTACACAGACACACACGGGGTGCCATCCCCACCCGCCCCACGGTGAGTTACTCCGTCAGCTCCCAACATGAACCAGGGCGTGTCGATACACGCCTGGAGAAAAGGAATTCTATGTGATCCTCACGGCACCTCCTTTAGCGGCCGAGTCTGTGATCTGAGGTTTATGTGCAGACAACGAGGATATCAGATGACTCGCAGGGCGATCCGACGGTGCGACATCAGGAAGGGCTGGGATGCCTTCCCCGCTACTGTGGTCCTCGAGGCACAGCCCCAGGCTCACACATCTGCCTTCTTTCACTCATCACGAGATGCCGCAATAAGGCCACAGAGAAAGCAGGACGCGCCCATTCGTTCTTGTGGAGGGCACTGTGTGCACTTCACTACCCTGAGCGGGACTGGGTGGCCTAGAGCTCTTCCTTCCTTCCTTCCTCTTTCTTTCTTCCTTCTATGAATTATATATTTAAAAACATGGGTCTCCCTGGTGTTCTTAGGATCCTAGACCTTTGAGGCTGGAAGCCTGGAACACCACACAGTGGCCTCTTCTCATTCAAAAGTGAGCGAAGGGAGGCCAGTAAAGGTCAAGGAGTCCAGGCCAGAAGCAGAGCTGGTGAGGGTGGACCTTGGATCGGAAGCGGATGTGCACACAGCAGACCCAGCCCTCCTGTACGGCCAGCTGTCTCGTCTGGCGGCCACGTAAGTCAGTCGCCTGTCCTTATCTGGCCGCCTTCCTTGAGGTGCTGTTTGGCAGGAAGCTTCTATGGGGGCTTCCTAACTCAAGGGGATGTTTTTAAGAGAAGATGCTGCACCCTCTTAAGGGACAGCATGTGCTGGGGAGAACATGGACACGCGGTCAGAGGCTTGGGTTTTGTGTTGATGAGCTCAGTTCTGTGCTCCAGTTCACAAATTCTAGACGTACATTTTAAAGAAAACCTGTGGCCAACTTTCTTAACCCTGTTCTTTAGTTGTCCTGAAAGGGCTAAGAAGTGTTTACCCAAGACCTGCGAGGGTACATCCCCACCCGTGCACGGGGGCAGGGGTGACCTGGGCTGAATTCAGGGATGGCCCCAAGACGTCTGCCTCATGACGTCTCAGACACACTTGCCATCACGAGCTGACACCTACGGGAGGGTGTGCATTACCCCGCCAGCATGGTGTACAACAGGGTCCCCAAACTCCAGATGTCACAGGCTGCGTCATAGCCTTGCCGCTTCAGGACCTGGAGGGGGGAGAGCAGAAGGCAGATGAGCACTTGATGAAGAAAGTTCAAGTTCACAGTGTGTTCTTCGGAGGAGACCATGAGCTGGGCAGGTGGGAAACAGGGGGATATCATTTATTAACACTAAGTCAATACTGACGTCCTGCCATAGGGTTCCCCAAAGACCAGCGCACGCACATGAACCATGGTTCTTGCCAGATACGTGACGGATAGCTTGAAAACACTTACTTTTTACGGCAGAACTTTAAAAAAATGATGGCAAAGTATACACAACATAAAATTTACCATCTTAATCGGTCTTAGGAACACAGGTCAACTGTCCCACCATCTTCATCTATCTCCTTCCTCTCACAAAACTGAAACTGTCCCCATTACACTCCCCACGTGGGCCCCTGGCTCCCACCCTCCTCTTTCTGTCTCGGTGGATTTGGCTGCTTTCGGGACCTCATATGGGTGGAATCATAGTAATTTGGCTTTTCTGCTTGCATCAAACAACACGACGTGCTCAAGCTTCATCCATGGTGCAGTGTGGGACACGATTTCCTTCCTCTTTAAGGCCAGTACTCCTTTGTTCGAACGCACCACATTTTGTGCACCCATTCAGCCGCTGAGGCACACTGGGGCTGCTTCTGCCTTCTGGCTATTGGGAATAATGTGCACGTTGTGGGGTGAACCACTACTCTCATCTTTGCTGTCAGTGTCATCGGGTGTTGGCATGGCCGCATCACATGCTAATCCTATGTTCAATTTTCTGAGGAATAGTTAAAACAGAAGATTTTCATGAGTCCTAGGATTACAGACTTCCACGGAGGGCAATCCTCTGATGTGTTTGTAGTTGGAGGACAGTAAAGCGAGCGGCGTAGACACTCTGGGATAATTGCACGTCGCTGGGTTAGTATGAATGTGGTCAGGAGAGCTGTGTTCCGTTTTCTTAGACACAAGGGCAAGGATCCCGTCCTCCTGCCATTGTATCACTGAGGCCATACGCTGTGGGGCAGCCAATACCGGCGGATTAACTGTCCATTGTTCGAACCCACGCGTCACCAGCTCAATGACCTTCCAAAGTCGTTGGACACACTGAACGTGGTGGTTGTTGTTTTTAATCCACTCGGTGTGGCCAACAGTATCTACCCTGTGTGCCTCATGGGGCGTCCGAAAATAAAAGTAAAAACTCTCAGTAAGAGGGCTTTGTAAATGGTAAAGTAATATACCAATGTAAGATATTCTATAATTGCTAAAATCAAGGCTATCATATTAATATTGATCAAGTAAGACCGTAACATGGGCTTATAAGCAGATTGTGTTGAAAGGGGTCACAGGTAGCATGTGGGTAACCTAAAAGTGGCCTCACAGCCCACCCGTGTGGGCCCCGTGCCCACCCATGACCTGGCTCGGCACCCTGCTGTCTTCCTCACGACCAGTTGGGGGAGACCTCTCAACTCCAGACCCACTACCAGGTCCCCAGGGGCCTCCTTTTTTTCTTCTCTTCTCTCTTCTCTTCTCTTCTCTTCTCTTCTCTTCTCTTCTCTTCTCTTCTCTTCTCTTATTTCTCTTCTCTTCTTTTCTTTTCTGAAGTAGACTCCAGGTCCAGCATGGAGCCCAATGTGGGGCTCGAACTCACGACCCTGAGCTCGAGACCCGAGCTGAGATCGAGAGCAGGACGCCTTTCTCTTGGGTCTTCCTGTGGGCTTCACCGCAGCTCTGGCCCGGTGTCTGCAGCAGGCAGAAGGGTCCACACGCATGCGACATCCTCTCTCCTTCCCGACCCCTCACCCCCAGCCCTGAGCCTGCCCCGCTCCAGCGGCCGCTCAGGTTTCGTTGTTTACTTAAAGCAAGGACCTGGGTTTGCCTCCATAAACATAGCAGCGCCGTCAGAGCCTGGGGGAACCTTCCCCGGGGAGCCCGAGAAGGGGCAGACGTACGAGATGGGGCTGCAGAGGCTCTCCGAGTCTCGGGGTGCGGCTGAGAGCCCTCACCTGCCCAACACCATGGGCTTCATCTTAGATCCCGCAGCGCGGCTTGCTTCTGCTCTGGGGAACCGTCTGGAGTGGAACCCTGGCGCGAGGGGAATCCACAACCGTGCGGCCTCCCCCGGCTGTGTAGCGGCAGATCGACTCCTGATCACAGGGTGCAGGGGACCCGTGAGCTCCCCTCCGGGTAGCATGGGACACTGCCTGTGCTGTCTCTCAGTAACTCGGGCAGTCGCGTGGAGCTGACCCAAACGGTCTACTGCTCGTTAATAGGTTTACAGAAAAGCGTCACCATTAAGAAATCTTACAAAATGGGGGAAGAATAAAGTAAACTGTGTCTGAGCGAGGTCAGTGGCTGGTTCTCTTTCTGACTCATTTCTCCTCTCTAACACGACCGCTAAGTCAGGGTGACTCCGACGTGCCAGACCACGCACACCTTCCTCTGCCGAAGGAGCCGGCTCATGCCGGCCGGCGCGGGGCTCTTACCTCGGGGGCAACGAAGTTGGCCGTGTAGCAGGGTGTCATCAACAGCCCGTTCTCGGCCCGGAGCTGCTTGGCAAACCCGAAGTCGCAGATTCGGATGGACTCGGGGTCCCCAGACTCGTCCATGTACAGTATGTTACTCGGCTTCAGGTCTCGATGAACTACCTGGGAAGGCGGTGGGCAGGGTTGGAGCAGGAAGGGGAAGGGGGAGCATTCAGAAGAGAAGGGGCTTTTCGGGACTGTGACCCTGAGCAGGTCCTGCGGCTGCAAGCCAGGGGGTTCGGATGCTATGTTCTTTGGGGTAAGTAAGTAAGCAGCCGGCCCGATGAGAGAGCCACATGAGGAAACAGGACACTGTGTTCAGGTGACAGGCACGAGACGATGTCTACAGACAGATGTTCACTGTGTGCCCAGCACGTTTCCGCGCGGTGAGGGGCTCCCCGGATTGTGAGATGGACACACGGCCCCTGTCGGGGGCAGGTGACCAGGGGCCGTGACCCAGCGGTCGACGGGAATCCTACAGCAGCACCTGTGGGGGTGGGGAGGGAGGTGCAGGGCGTCCCGAGCACAAGGGATGGGGTCGGCAAAAGCGGTCCTGACGTTTCAAAGCCAAGTAGCTATGCGGGCACACGACGTTTCTTCTGATGGGGATGGAGGCTGACGGTGAGCCCACGCATGTGCCCTCACACAGCCGGGAACCTGCACGTCCCCAGGGTCCTGTTAAAACCCAGGGACAGGAGATGGAGGGAAGCTGAAGGGACACTCACGGGCAGAGGCCCTGAGGGCAGGGGAGCGGGAGACTTTGGGGCCAGGCCCATTACCTCCCTCATCAAACAGAAGCTGATCGGGAAAACCATCATCCCCAGGGTTTCCTCTAGAGTTTGACTGTCCTGGGGAAATGCTTCGTACTCCCAGACCGCCGGGTGAGCACAGAGGGGCCTGTGGTGTGGTCCCGGAGGAACAGCCTCCTGCTGGCAGGTGGCCGCATTTCAAACGCTCGTGAGCACAGTGGACGGTGGAGGGCGGCCAGCGACAGCGCTGCCCGAGTTGCGGGATGCGCCGGGAGCAAGGGGATCCGAAGCGGAGCCCCAGGCGGGAGCCCCAGCCCCGAACCCCAGCCCCGCCACTCACTGCGCACAGCCAGCCCTGGGAGAGATGCTTAACCTCAGTCCGCTCTAGTCTCCGGAGTGGGTGAGATCCGAGCTTAGGGCTGCATGAACGGAGAGCAGGGGCGGCGCCTGGAGCCCGGCGAGGGCTCCGGCAAAGGCTCCGGCAAAGCCAGCTCTCTCTGTCTCTGTCATCGGCAGGATTCCTTGGCGCTGGCTAAGGAGTTCAGTTGTCAATCGATCAACAGGGCCCTTCGTCAGCCCGAATACGTTTCCTCTATAACTGGTCCAGGTAAACTTAGTTTCCCTAGCTTGCTGCCGGCCACACTGTGTGTGCAGGGATCTCAGACACAGGAGGGGCGGCGGTGACGCAGGAGGAAGCCGGGACAAGCTGGGGAGTCCCCTCCAGGCTGCGGGGGAGGGTGGCGGGCTTACCCCCTGGGAGTGGAGGTAGTCCAAGGTCTTGGTGATGGTGCACAGCACGTCGCTGGCCTCGCGCTCGGAGAAGTAGCGCTGCCGCAGGATGCGGTCCAGGAGCTCTCCCCCCCGCATCAGCTCCATCACCAGGTACACCAGCTTCCCGTCGTCGTAGACCTGCGAGGCGGAGAGCAGCGCGTGGTCACCGCGGTCCCCGTGCCCGTGCAGCCACCTGTCACTGGACGTGGCACCGGCCAGTGCAGAGGCAGGGGGCTCCGTGCTCCCCAGGGTGTGAAAATAAGGCTCCGGCTGAAAATGAATGAATGGCCGTTGCCATCACACCCAATGCGGCCCTTAGGGAAAACCAGCTTTAATAACCTGCTGCAAAGCAGGGAATGAGCCCGCGAGGCCAGGAGCCGGCAAGGGCCAGATCGGAGCTGACATGGCTTGTCCTGCTCCCGTCCCTCCTCTGCCCTGGGGACCTTCAGAGCTGTTGGCCCAGAGCCCAGCGCCTCAGACTTAGTGCGCACACCCCAGGGGCTCTCATTGGCAGGCGGCATCTGGCCCAGCAGGCCTGGCTCCTGTCCAACTGGCCCCAGCCCTGGGGCCCTCCCTCCCACTGTACCTGCACTGGACCTAGGACCTACGGACTGCCCTGCCGGGCAGGAAGGGAACACGGGGACCGACAGAATCTGCCGCACTGTGGAGTGCTCTTACCTCGGGGAAGCTCTGATCAAGGGAGCTTCCCCACACCACCTTCACTCTCACGAACTAAACAGCCCCAAACCTCTCTCCTCTGGCTCTTTCCTCGACATGCTGAGTGGACAGCAGGTGCCCTGCACGCGGGTGCCCAGGCGTCGGGAGGACCTCGTGGAAACGGGGCAGAGCATGTAAACACAGGTCGTGTTCAGCTTACGCCTCAGTGTGATGCATTGGGAACAATTCACTAAAACAATCTGCTTGACTCTGAGCTCAGTGCAGCATGTAAAGTTGATTTTGGTGTATTTATTTCCAGTTTATGCCTTAAAAAAATGCTTTGCTTTTGAGAATGGACCTATGATGGCGTCTTTGGCTCAGAATCACCCACTCCAACAGAATGAAAGTGCTTTGAAAAGCTTAGAAGTCTTCCGACAAGCTGGTTTCTGCTTGTGGACTTCACATAAATAAACCCACAATGGTGGGGACACCGGGCTGCACCGCGGGGGAGCCTGGGACCCGGGGGGAGGAAGCTGGTTCACTTTCCACAGGCTAACACGGGGCCTTGTTCCATACTTTTCCTCTGAGGTGAACCGGCATTTGGCAGTCCCCTGGATCCAGGAACTGACGGGGCCCAAAGGGAAGTCGAGGCAGCCCCTAAATCTTGAGCCCGGAAATCACAACCCTGGAGTCATTCTGGACTGTAGTGAGATGACAACTCTGCGCCCCCCCACCCCGCCCCACCCCGGCCTCTGACATCACAGCCCCGGGCTCTGCGCTGGCCTTCCGAGGGAGCGGACCCCCCTCCCTTCCCTCTCGGGCTGGGGACCACACACGGCCCAGCAGAGGCAGAGGAAGCTGGGAGGAACCCCACAGTCACAGCTGGGTCTGGGGTCTCAGATCTGACCCAGCCGCGTCTCAGCCACTCCAGACTCCCCATTTCTGCCGTGTTTGGGAACAGCCCTGAGCAATAACCCATCTGGCTTCGCCTTCACACCTGCTTCTCGTCCTCCCTTATATCCCACGTCACCCGATTTGGGAGTGCGGGGGGTGGGGCGGGAGTTGCCCTGGGAGGGACGGGAACTCGAGCAACTCCCAGGTAATCTCGAGGGCCCCGGGGTGGGGACTGGCTCCCACACACACTCCCGGGGGCGGGGGCAGCCGTGGCTGACCTGTGAAGAGAGCCGCCCTGAACCCACACTGGCCTCAGGGCCGGGCGAGGAAGTGTGCACCGGGCAGCGTCGCTGCTGCGTGGGGACCACTTACGTCTTTGAGGGTGATGATGTTCGGGTGCTGCCCGTACCTCAGGAGGATCTCGATCTCCTCCGAGGGGTCTCTCTTGCTCTTATCGATGATCTGGAACGAGCAGAGCACGAGACATGAGGCTCCGGGATGGCGTCGGCGCTCGGACCGTCTCTGCCTCCTCCCCTCCCCCAGCTGAGGCTCAACCAGGGCAAGTGACAGTTGCCTAGACGCTCACCGCCGTCCTCTGTCCCAACTAGCACGAGCGTGACACTTACACAAGGCAGGCACGAGCCTCAGACACGAATTCTCAGGTATTACAGGGCTGGAGAGAGAAGGGGGGCTTGGGGGCTCAGTCAGGCCACCAAATAGCGGCAGGTGTTTCAGCCACTGTGGCGGGCTCCGTGTGGGTGGCCCGCGCTCTCCACTCTGTCCAAAACGAGCCTCCAGCTCCCGGCCTCACCGTGTGGCGACACACGGGCCCAAAGTGGGACCGAGTGCGTGGTTCCCCCCAGGGGACGCCTGGGCCGGTGTGCACGCCGAGCCGGCCGCTGTGGCTTAGACACGCAAACGCTCCGTCCCCTCTGTCACCCAGCGTCTGTGTCCCACGTCCGAGGGTGACAGCCAACACCCCCCACCCGAGAGAACAGATGGCTTCCGAAGGCAGGACGGGCGCCTCGAAGAGGAGCCTGCTTCGAACAGGGGGGCTGCGGGGGCAGGGACGGGCTGGTCCCTCCGGGGGTGGCTGACTGTACCCTTGCGGCCGGAGCCGCTGGGGACGGCGCATCCCCGGTGCGCGTGTCAGAGACGACGCTCAGGACGGAAGAGCCTCACCGCTCCCGCAGGAAGATTCTCCGAATTCCGAGATGCTCCTCGGAGAGCGTGCGGGCGCGTGGCCGCCGGAGCAGGACGGAGATGGGCTTTGCCTTCTCTCGGGTCAGACTCCGAGCGGAGCTTTGCGTGAAACTGTCTCTTCTGTTGAGCTGAACAGCGAGCTGGGCAGTGTCCGACCCACCGCGGGAGGCTGCCCTGGACGCCCTCGTCCCACCCCTTCGCTGTTGAGATCACCCCGGGCCCACGCTGCTCTCCCTGGCTCGGCGCGGGAGCCCCCAGCCAGGCTCCGCCAGTGCGGCGAGCCCCGTGCCCTGGGCTCTTCAACAAGCAGCAAGTTAAGTGCCGTCGTTTGACACATTTTTCTCCTCTTGCCGCGGGCAACGCCACTGACGTTCTGGCGGGAAGGTCAGGCTGGCCTCTGTGAGAGACGTGCCGGCGGCCGGTTCAGCCGAGGGGTTCCGGAATCCGCGGCTCTGACCGCGGGCTGGCCAGCGCGGTTCGAGGATCCCTTCTGCACCAATGGCGCACGGGTCGTTTGAGCTCTGGGGGCCGCGACCTACTCTTTGAAATTTGAGAAGGTTAACGTACATTAGTGGATTTTTTAAAAAAAGATTTTATTTATCTGAGAGAGAGAGAGAGCACAGAGGCAGAGGGAGAAGCAGGCTTCCCGCCAAGCAGGGAGTCCGATGCGGGACTCGATCCCAGGACCCTGAGATCATGACCTGAGCCGATGGCAGACATCCAACTGACTGAGCCACCCAGGCGTCCCCACATTAGTGGATTTTTACAAAATTAATGGTAGCTTCATTTTTTTGTATAAAACTTCAGGATAAAAACAGTGTATTCTCAGCCTAAATCTGTTTTGTCACCTTCACAATGGAGTTGGAAGCAGGAGGCTTTCTCTCTCCTGCCAGCGGCCAGGTATAGGACCGGATGGGGGGACTGCACAGACAGGGCCCCCCATGGGGCCGGGGGCTCCTCCTTCCTCCTGTGGGGGCTCCCTGTGGCAGAGCTGACCTGAAGCCCGAGGACAAGGCCGGGCAGAGCAATGCAGCCGCTGGGCTCAGGGAGGAGCGCGGGTGGGTGTGCAGGGGGGAGGGGACACCCGTCGTCCACTAGGCCTGCGGAGGCACAGTTCCCACGGCCATCCCGCGGGCTCCCCACCAGCCTGCTGATCCGGGCAGGGCCGACTCAGGGTCCAGACAGCAGCACGTCCTGTTCACACCCGGGGTGTTGATCCTGGCCGTTGTCAGCAAGTGCTACTTTTACCCACCCATCTGTTTCTGCAATTATCACTACCACTTTTTTACGATAAGGAAGAAGAGTCTTCACGGAGACGCTGAGCCATGAGGCAGGGTTACTGGTCCCCGAGCTCGGGCTGCTGTCTCTGCAGGGGGGACGGCAGGGCCCAGAGAGAGGCTCTGAGCGCTCATCTAGACACGGCAAGGAATGGGTTTCTTCTCTGTGGGGTCAGTTTCCCGGGATTGCCGTTGTTAGACTTGCTTCTAGTTCCGGAAGGCGCCGGTGGATCAAGGTCTTTATTCTGAGAACAGTACTGGGGTACAGGCACAGGAAGGAATTCCCGGGGAGCGTGGTGACAAGCAGGGCCCGCTGTCTCCTCCGTGCTGGTGCTGATAGCCGGTGGAACCACAAAGGTTCAGGAGGAATGTCCCCGTCATTCTTGTCCTGCAGTGGCCACCAACAGCAGGCCGGACGCTGCCCGGGGTCAGCCCCCCACCACGGCCCATCAACGAGCCTCCTGCCATGTTGCTCTCCAGCAAGCTGTATGTCTACGGGGCTAAGTCAGCACCCGCAGGACGCAGCGGATGGCAGACGAGGGCTCTCTCTGCTGCTGAAGCATATGGGGACGGACGTATCAGGAGCATTTCTCTTTTCTTTCTTTTAATCGGTTGATCAGTGACTTATTAAGGTAAGCTCTACGCCCAGCCGTGGGGCTTGAACTCACCACCCCGAGATCAAGACTGCATGCTCTCCCAGCTGAGCCCGCCAGGCGCCCCTCATGTCCATTTGTACTCCTGGCTGCCTGAGCCGGGGAGAGGTGGGAAGAGGCGTCAGGAAACGAGGCCTCCCCGTCCTCAGCTTTTCCTCTTCTGTCTCTGCACCCCTCCAGCTTCTTCTTCCCAGGCTCCCCCCCGGATGCTCCCCTCCTGGGACACTGAGTCCCTTGGGGAAGTGGGCCTTGCGGCTGTCCAGAGGAGGGGCTCCCCGGCTTGCTGCGTGCCCCGGAGGCATGGTATTTCCACGAGCTTCTCCCAGGACCAAGGCCAGGAGTGCACATGGGTGTCGGGCACGCGGCCGTTCATAGGATTTCACAGACTTCTCCCGCACAATTAATTTAAGCAAATGGCACAGCGAGAGGACTCTGAGTTTTCCTACTGGAAAAAATTAACATTTCCGTGCCCATCAGTTTTCCCTCTAAAAATAAACTCTATTCATGTCAAACATTTGTCTCCATCCTGCTGCGTTTCTGGGTGGCAACTGACGTCCACATCAGAGCATGAGCACAGGAGTGCAGAGGCTCTCGTAACCGCCTGTTGGGACACAAAATGGGCTCCGTGTCGGGACAGCCTGCCCAGCCCCTGCGGACATGCGTGGGCGCCCCCTCCTCCCTGGAGTCAAGGACCGGGGACGCAGACTCACACAGTTGTAAGCATCTTGCTTCACTTTCATCTGCTTCTTTGGCTAAAACACACGACCCCTGGGTGCTCTAGAACCCCAGTGCTTCTAAAACAGAGCAAAGGACGCTCCTGAAGAGAGGGCCAGACCGCCAGGTGGAGTCGACCTCCTCCCAAAGCCAGGGGGCTGAGAGCTAGGGCAGAACAGCAGGGAACATACAAGAAAAAAGGAGCCAGCACCCAGAATCACGGGCACCTCCGCTTTCTCCAGTTACACCTGCATTGGAACCAAATGGTCACCAAAACCACGTATTTTCCTGGCAGATCCCGGGTTTGGGCTGGGAACTTCCTGCCGCCCAGCCCCATCCGCTCTGCGTGGCGCTCTCAGGCTTTCCCGATCTGGAGGTCGCAGAAGGCAGGGGTGGGGGGGAGCCGGAGTGGAGCTTTCAGGCTCCAGCCCTTGGAAGCGAGGTCCCCACCCCAGGGAGGCCACGGGTGTGCACACTTGGATGTCGGTGACTTTCCCACTTATGGGCTGAGTGTCCTTGTGTTGTTGACGTGTCAGTCTCTGTGCCCTCACGGTGATGGTGACGTCATTCCCCCCCGGCGTCATGACCATCAACGGACCTAACAGGCAGAGCAAGTCAAGTCTGGTGGCAGACAGCAAGCACCGTTTGCCGTCATCATCGTCGCCGTAACAGGATGAGAGAACGTGCGTAAGTCCGACTTCCGTCTCATGCCTGGGGCTCCTGGGCCCGTGAACTTCAGCTGTGGGATTGTTTGCTCCTTAGAAATTCACTGATGTTTGTGTCTCGAAACCGAGGATGGAGATGGCAAAGGCAGTCCCTCGGGTGTGCACGTGAGGTCCGTGCCCTGGGACCAGGACACGCTTGTGTCGCAATCCGCAGACGCCGTCTGGAACTCTCTCGAGAGGCACCTGCACAGGCTTCTGAGAGGCTGAGACACTTACGGACACAAGGCAGCTTTCCCATGGAAACTGAGCTGCCACGGAAACTGAGCTGCCACAGGTTCCGAGGCACCTTCCCTTCCACACCACGCCAGGAGCCCTTCCTTTGATACGAACTGGCTTCCTGGGCTGTCGACCACACGCGCCTGGCCACGTCCAGCCACGAAGACTCCCAAGCAGAAGGGAAACCAACAACCCGCTTAAGCAGTTCCTGTGCGGTGAGCACAGCACCTGCGGCCGAGAGGATACGGACGGTACTTTCTATTCAACGAAACCTCTGCCCTTCACGCGCCGCTCAGTCCTAGTCCCTTCCGCACGTCGTAACGGTTCCCTGTTGCCCTTATTTTAAACCGAAGGTGCCCTCAGCCTGGGCCGTCAGTGCGGTTCTGTGTCATGTTATTTAAAGTCAAAGCTGAACTTGGGCCGTGCACTGGAGCGTGAGCCGCTCTGTCCCTCGAAAGCGGTTCCGTGTGTGAAGAACGTGGAGCCCATCTGTTCCGCTGTCACGAGCTGACAGAGGGAAGAGGCTTTTCCACCCGGTGTCTCAGCACTAGGCGGGCGCCGGTGGGACAGCCTACGCCGAGTCAGCCCGTAGTGGACCCGTGAGGAGGACAAGGGGCCCCTGCCTCACCATCCGAGGCCGGGCGCTCCTGGTGCAAGATCCTGGCCGGCCCAGCCTTGTTTGCCGGGGTGGGAGGGAAGGACCACGCCTAGGGATTCAGACTCTGCACCAGCACTGAGTCCCGACTGCGAGCACACACGGTGCTAAAGGCTGCCACGTGCTGGCCGGGCCTGCCCCACGCACTTGAAATGCTGCACAGGAAGCTGCAGCGGAGGGTAACTGCAAACCCGTCACTCTCGTCGACTGGGGACACACTGGGTGGAGAGGTTTAAATACGGCCTTCAAGGTCGTTAATGTGATGACAGAGTAATTATAGTGGCAAAATTAGGCACCCGTAAGACACAGAAATAAGCTTAAAGCAAAACACAGTGATGTTTCCAAGATGTGAGAGCTAATGCATCCCATCTGCGCTCCAGGACGGCCCCCTGGCGGACCCCGCGCCCTGGCAGTTCCCGCTCTGCCCGCCAGAGGGCCTGCCCGGCCCGAGTGGAGCACAGGAAGCACTGGGCTCCCGCGGTCCTGCGATTGTCATCCTGAGACCAAGAGCAAGCAGAAGAAAAACAGAGCAGGCGTCCACCACCTTCATCTCCCAGACATCAGCCCGCTGGAGTTCATCTGCAGGAGACAGCCGCCCCCGCCCCTGCCCCCAAAGGATGCTTTAGGCTGAGGTTCTCAGCCTCAGCACTGCTGACATTATGGGCTCAGTGATCCCGGGTCCATGACCGCGGGAGGGGCCATCCCGTGCGGGACGGTGTGCTGCGTTTCTGGCCTCCATGCGTGATTAACCAGGGTGTCTCAGACATTGCCAGTGCCCCCGGGGAGGCAGCACCAGCCCCCTTCCCACTCAGTATGAATGCCCCAGGCGGAAGCCCCTGCCCTCTGGCCACAGTCCTGCTGTCCATCAAAGTGGCTGCAAACATTTTTCTGCTCCTTACTCAGTGGGGCCGTTTCTGAGTCACCCATGCAGGCAGTGTGCATGCGAGAACCTTTCCCATGCATGCGAGAATTTGCACGGCCGGGTCTGCTGGGGGCTCGCGTGCGAGCCGGGGTGCGGGGGCTGAGCTCAGCAGCGGAGCCTCAATGGGACGCCTGTTGACCGGAGGTCCAGCTCGCACGCCAAGTCACTAAAGGCCACGCTCTCCGTGCTGGGCTGCTAAAAGCCCTTCTTAGTTTTACAAGTTCTTCTGTCTCCAAGCGGGGACACAGTTTCTCTCCCACCAGTCAGCTGACACAGAAAAAGGCCAAAGAATATTTTCATTATGTTCTACCTGGAAATGCTGAAAACGAGACAGAGGAGCGAGCTGTAGGATGTTACATTTTGGTAACGCGTGGGTCCATCCTGAATACGGAGCTCTTTGCCTCGAAACACCGCCAGCTCCTTCTCCTTTGAAGCAAACCCAAATTGGGACCCAGGACCTAACTGCAACCGTCCCAGCAAGCAGCTGGCACGGGCGTCCGACCCCTCTGGGTCACGGGGGCTGCGCGGTGCAGGGCCGCAGCTCCTCCCCACGAGTGTGGAACTTAAACACCTTCCAGGCAACACATCACCCCCAGTGCGGTCTCGGGGAGGCTGGGGAAATCCTCAAGTCCGCCGCTCACTGTCCAGGGGGCGTCAGGGCTCGGAAGAAGGAACAGGAAGACCCGGCTTTCCGGGCCACAGCCCCGCGCTTGGCTTCTGGGCCCTGGGCTGAGATGCCCCAAGTTCCCAGGCAGCGTGGCCTCAGCGAGTTGCGGGCAACGAGGCAAAGCCACAGAACAAAGCCGAGTTCAGACGGTGCGTTTATGAGGGCGCTGGCCGTGGGGACAGTACGGGAAACACACCACCGCCTCTGTCAATGGGAGATTTATTTTCAGAGACACAAAACGCAGCTGAGCGGCCTCACAGAGGCAGGCTGTGTTCTGGAAGGCAGCGTGGTCACGGAGCCACCCGGACAATGCCACCGTGTCTTCGTGCTCCCTGGAAGCCGCCGTTGTCTCCGGGATTGCGGCCGGTCTCCTGACATGGCTTAGGAACTCGGCGAGAAACGACTGAGGCAGAAGACATTCCCCGATGGCCACGCACACGCGTGAGACGTGTGTGCCCTACACTCGGGGGTACGGAAGCAAGCCCCCCGCCTGGGGCCCACCACAGGTGCACGCCTGCCTCTGGCGCAGCGTCTCCACGGGCACCCGGGGCGTCCACACACGCACGCCTCAGAGCGCTCCCAGGGACGAGGAGACACGAAACTCCCCATCAGCTCAGGTCTCAGAAACGCACGGAGCCCTGCACACCCGTTCTGCAGGGGTCCCTGCTGGCGACGCCCCCTGGGTTCCCGGGGTCCCGTCACTCCTGCTGAAATACGGGGTTGCACAGACTCTCGGTGCTTGGCTGTCTTTGCAACCCTGTATTTCATTCTTTCTTGCTGGAGGACTTCAGGGTACATCTGTCCACTAGCCAGCAATTTCCAACCCAAACTAGATCAAAGGGCTAGTTTTGGGGGGCTGGTGTCTTTTTTCTTTCTTCTTTTGACAGAATTGAACATTTTCTTAGTGCAAGAAGCAAGGGGCATGGGTGACCCACGAAGGAACGGGGTCCTCCCCCCCACAGGCGTCATTTTGAACAATGTCTTCCGAGCTTAGGAATATCGCAGTGGAAGGAAGGGCTCCTTTTACCCCGCCGCTGCTGGACACGCTCTGTATGTGCCCCAGTGTTTGGCGAAAGGCACGCTGGTGCCACGTGGTGTAGACTCGTCTGGGTCTGGTCCTGCTGATGCCGCAGGCTGGACCCATCCTGTCTAGAGTCCCAAGGTCAGTGTGCATTAGAGCGTCTCTGGCTGTCTTGTGCAGAGAATGCACAGTTTACACTTTTCACATAAATGAGGTTATGCTTTTGGCCAGAAGCTTTCACTCTAGTGCACATCACAAACCAGAAAACTTAAGAACCTGGTGTTTGGGATTTCCATATCGGATATCAAATCGAGCAGTAATTACAGAAGCTAAAGGTATTATGTAGAGACTGGGTTCTAGATGATTCTGAATAATTATTACTATCTACCACCAGCTCTCTGTTTAAGTCTGCATAGACATTACCCGGTTTATGCCTCTAGACATTTCTTTGATTTAATTTTTGGTGACTGTATCTTCCCCCTCACCCCCGACCCCCTCAAACAACCCGGCTCCTGTCCCCCAGTTGTATTTTCCAAAATATGGAGCACCCAAATCTTTCATTCCAGGGTATACTGTACATAAAGCTACGAAAGGTGGTCAGTACTTAAATGTTGGATAAAACTGAAAATATTCATGATCCGCAAAATAAGTTTTGAACGGGTGACCCAGTGTCACAGCAAACTGCACTCCGTCTTATTCGAGCTTGTGGGACGGCGTGCAGAGAGAAAACTGGCCGGCTCATGCGCGTATGTGCTCTTACCTTCACGGCGTACTCTGCCTCCGTAGCTTTATGCACACATCGCTTGCACACGGAGTAGGAGCCCACCCCGATGTCCTCCTTGATCTCATAGCCGTCGGTGAAGTGGATGTTGTTCCCGTGTAACTGCTGTGGAGAGAGCCCAGGACGGGGCTGCTGTCAGAGCTCGCTCGGCAGAGGCGCCCAGGGCATGGGCAGCAAGGGAGGGCCCGGATGGCGCACTGGGGCTCACCGAGCGAGCCCAGGAGATAACGGGATTGTGAAGGTCACGCGGCTGGTCAGCAATGACTCCAGATCTAAAGCTTAACTTTCTGGGCATGAGCTTAATTTTCAGACCATACGACACAGGGTCTGAGACTCTGAAGGCCGGAGCACGGAAGGCCGCCGGTGATGGGTGTGTGGCTCTGATGCTTGAGGTCGAGCAGTGTCTGGTGTCCACATCTACAGGGACTCACACCCTGTGATGTCCCATCGCAGCCCCCCTCTGCTGTGTGCACGAGCCTCCACCCCACGCACCGAGAGCATAGACAGAAAACCACCACGTAGCCACCGTTCACGATGGCACATGGCGTAGGCTGTCACATCAAGTGTCCCCGTTAGACACACTGTGGGCTCCCTAAAGGCCCTGGAGAAAGATACATGGAAATCTGACACCGCCTCATTTTCCCTGACTTTGTCCTTAAATAAAATACAATCACGATTCCTTCTTAGAATTCTCTGCATCTGGTTACACTTATGAGGTGGAAAACTCCTTCTAAAAATGTCATCTGAATCGATCTCCCCAACAGTACATTTCACAAGAGGAAGCGGCTCCCACAAAGCCGACCAGTCTCTTGGGGTGCTGACTCGATCCACACAGCGAGGACGCGCCTGTCTGACCCCCGTGGGGGCCCCAGCCACAGACACACCCCAGAGACGTTCTCACCAGAACTCTTTCCCCTTCATGAAGGTGGAAGTGGAGTGAGGGTGGGAGGCACGGCTCTGCTCACCAGGAGACTCGGGGACGCCCAGGAGGGTGGCAACAGAGCGGGTCCCCCTGTCCCTGGCACCAGCACCCCGGGACCCAGCCTGGCTCTCAGTCCACGTGGACACAGGGCTGGAGCCTCGCCGCCCGCACCCGGCGGAGGAGCGAGCCCGCGGTGTGCGGGGTTACCTGCACGATGGGGTGAAGCGCGGCCTTGTGCAGATCCTGCTGTGAGGGCTCCTGGACCAGGCTTGAGGCCACAAAACTGAATCCTCTGAAGAGGTGGTGTGCGTTGGCGCTGGGGGGCACGCCGGGGGAGTCTGCAGGCAACAACCAGACCGCTCAGCCTCCGGGAGGGGCTCCCGGGCCGCAATTCTCCAACCACCTGCTTACTGTGGGACAGGGCGCCGTTGGCCCCGCGCCGGGCAGACTGAAGTGCCGAGGACACAGAAAAATCGTTCTTTGCACTTACACGTTAGTAAGAGGGAGAACTTGCTAAGCACAGGAGCTCGGTGCGTGGCTGTGCCGGAGGGCACCGGGCGGTGGAAGGGCGGGTCACCCGCATCCTGCCGGTGAGGTCCCGCCTGCGCAGTGGGAGCGCCTTGCGCTGGGCTTACCGTCTTTTTCTTTTTAAGCTAAAGCCAGCACTAGAGCTGGTTCCCATGCCCTCGACGTGCATAAACCGGCTGCCCGCTGGACAGTGCGCTGGTGAGAGCCGCCCGATAAAGTTGAAAGAGCCCTCAAACAGACTCGTCAGAAACACCCACGGGATCATCAGAGTTTTAAATTTTCTCTTATCCAGCTGATGTGTCTGCGCCGAAAATCTCAAGCGTGTTAAATTCTACTTATGCCACTTGTCACTCAGGCCTGACACCGGCACCCACCGAATGTGGGCAGTGGTGGTGACGCCATGAAGACCCACCTGAGCCCCAGCCGGTCGGCCAGAGCCTGACCGCCACGGCTCGGTCCGTGCAGGGGGAGGCAGCCCCGGTACAGTAGGCAAGGCAATGTCATTCAGGGGCAGTGCGTATCTGATCTGCAAAGTCTCCATTCACGAATGAAAATGCGTCAGTTCAAGTTAATACACCTGCTGTCCCCAAAAAAGCACACACACTCCCCAACAGCTGTAAATGAGCCTTTTGGGCTAGGCTCCGCCCCAGCCATTAGCTGGGCTGCAGCTAATTCTCTGGGATAAGCTGGGATTCTTATGTAAAGCCCTAAGGAGGACGTCAGAGGGCCCTGGGGGTTGAAGACTGCTTAAGGTTGTTGGATCCCCTGGGCTTTGGTGGAGACCCTTAGGGCAGCCCACGGTAGTGCAGGGCATTTCGGGAGAAGGCAGACCTCAAAGCCGAAATTCTGTGCAGGAAAAGGGCAGACGGCAGGAAGCAAGCTGGGGCGCGGAACCCCAGGTCTGGAGCAGCTTGGCGCCCGCCGCGCCTCAGCTCTACTGTCTAGCAGCGCATCGTTTTCAGATTCTAAAAACTACTCAGCGGAAGCTTCTGGGTTTTAATTAAGCTTCCCTAGTCTAGCACGGAGGGAATTTATTTCCCAGCACCCACAGCCCAACTCAAAGCGAACAAAGTGGAGTCTCTCTTCCAAGTTTCTCTTCGTAGCGTTTTGTATCTGACCATCTATTTGTTTCATGATTATCCCTAAAAATCATAGGAAATTTCAGTTGCAGAAGTAGTAAGAACCTCCAAAGATAGGAGATCCCTTTTTATTTTCTTCACATAACACCATTACGTAACATACACTGACTGACAGACTGACCGTGTTCCCCCAAAATGCGTAGTTTGAAGCCCGACCCCTCCGCGTGACTGTCTTTGGAGATGAGGTCTTTCGGCAAGTCATGAAGGTTAAATGAGGTCAGGAGACCTGATCCAATGGCCCTGGCGTCCTTGTAAGAAGCAGGTGAGACAGCAGGGACCACGCTCTTCCTCCTCGAGCACAGAATAAGGCCGCGGGAGGCCATGTGCCAGCTGGGCAGAGAGCCCTCCCCAGGAACCGAAGGAAGTGTCTGCTGGCTATCTGCAGTCACACCGCACAGATGTGCTCGCGGCCTTCTTCTCCCCCCAAACCCTCTGACTACGGGAGGGGCTTGCACTGCCCGGAGGTTGCCAGCTTGTGCGTGCCTGAGAGGAGTGGCCCCCGGAACGCAGCTCAGAACAGGAGACACAGCAGGAGGGGGGGGGGCAAAGAACCCTGGGGGACTCCAAACCAGATGTCACCCGGGTAGGGGACTGAGAATCGGTTCTCTCACCTAAAGCTTGAAGGTGGAGACGAGAGAACAAGAAAGTCAAACAGAGCCCACCCGCACCCTCCATGGAAGTGTTCCGGAACACCAGACCCTCAGGCTAAGTTGCCGTCCCTAACTGGCCAGGGAGGAGGAGGAGAACCCGGGGTGGGACAGAACTCTGGGCTGGCTTGCCCTCGCGGCCGGCACACACCTGTGGGCGTCCGTGCTGTGAACTCGGGGTCAAAGTGGAAGGTGTCCTCGGGCCTGCCCACCGCTGGTTTGAAGGGCGGCTTGATCTCCTTCCTGTACAGCTTCTGCGGGGAGAGCAAGACAGGACGCTGAGGACCACGGACCACCTGGGGAAGACGATGTGGGACAGCAGAGCCGGCCAAGGGGGAGGGAGACAGGCCTCACACACACCGCCGGGGATGCACCCGTGGCCGGCTCCCTGGGACACACTGAGTGGGTTCGAACACACGCAGAACGCCGTGTCTCTTACATGTTGATATTATGGAAGGTATCGGATAGAGCTGGACGCTACCAAAGCCATGACTAAACCACGAGGAGTTGGACACCTGCTACGTATCCTCCATTGAGGGCAATATGAAGTTTTCAACCTTTTTGGGGGGCATAATGTTTTTCTGAAGGATCTAACCACCCCCCACCCCGGAAACAGCAGGGAAGAGCCCCCGCTGCTTGGCACCCTCCTCCCTGCCCTGCCCTGGCCACCGTGGGGCCAGCGCCTAGGGGATGCTGGGATGGCCCCCAGCTACAACGAGCCAGGTCCTTCCTCACACAGCCCAGAGCCCGTGACCGGCACTTCCAAGTCTCCAGATGGAGACACACGCTTCTTCAGAATGGCCTGACCTTTGCTGCACAGAAACTCCAGCCCCCCACCGCTTCCCTCTGACCCTGGCCTTCTTGAAAACGCCTTCCAACTAGGTGATATTGTCTCCTTAGGCAAGGCAACAATGTATTGTTCTGGGGACATGCAACTTCGGGAGAATACTGTGTGGAAGCAGGCCTGGGAGCGAGGTGGATAAAGCCACAGATGGGCAAGAAGGGGGAACCTGGGGCCAGTCAGGGAGGTGATGGAGAGGTGCGGCGGCCTCAGGCCTCCACCCTGGCTGAGGCTGGGGGTGGGGGTGGCAGCCGCAGTGGGGACTTCAGAACATCCCCGTCCTGGGTCGCTCGGTGTGCCCAGGGTGTGGAAGTCGTGGTGCTGGCCCGCGTACCGAGAGCCTGGTGGGTTGGTGCATGGGCAGCAGGGCTCGGACACCAGGAAGGGGGTCTGGCTGCAAACGTTTAGCACGAATTTTCCCAGTTCTGCCTGACCAGAGGGGACCCCTAGTCCCTTTCTTGGCGCTTCCGCTTAGCAGGCCTGGAGACAGGGACCCTGATGGCTCAGAAAGAGGTCGCAGTGACCCCCGTCCCATCTGTGCTAAATCTCTCCATAACACAGAAAAGCAGCTTTTATCAGCCTGTCTTTATGTCTTTACAGACGAGGAAACCCAGGCTAAGACAGGTTGGCTGAGCTGTGCGAGGTCAGGAGTGAGGGAGGGCCAGTGTGGGGAGGACCTGGCACACTGACCTCCCAGTTACAGCAGCGCTCACAGTGAGGGAAGGTCCAGCACGGGCAGGAGGGCACGAGGCCCCAATCCCTGCTGGGAGCACATCCTTTTGGAAGCCGAGGTGGTGGTGGGAACTGCCAGGAGTGATGGTTAGAACAAAAACTGTGTCCGGCCGGCGACTGCCGGGCTCTCCCCTGATTTAATGAGCCGCAGACGTGCACAGGAAGGAGCTCCGGGTGTGCCCCTGGAGCCGCCAGAGGACAATGTCCACCCTCGATGATCTGCTCATTTCTTGCTCTGGGTGAATAAATTTCATTAGGAATTGATTTACTCTGTAAGCTCTTTTCCAGAAATAGAAAGACGCTACTTTCCATGGTGACGCACTTGGGTGGGAACGAACTCCCCTGGTGTCTGCACCTGTCAGAGGAAATCGCACGAGGACGGGCGAGCTGCGCGCTCCGGCTGAAATGGGGCCGTTACCAAGACCGGTGGCCCAGGCGCAGCCCTGTGGGGCTCAGACCCTTCCGGCTCACATCTGCGATGCTCCCGGTGTTAAACCAGTGTCTGTCCTGCTCTAGGAAAACTCACATCCTCTCCCAGGGCGGTCATACGTTCTCTTGCTATTGGGGGGTGGGGTGGGGGGGCGGTGGGGGGGAGCAGAGGGAGCAGGAGGGAAAGGTGGGGGACATCTCAACCAGAGCCCCATCTCCCACTTTACGAGCACTCATTGACGTGCACACAGTGCTGGCTCTTACTTAATCCAAACGAGAGGAGAGGCGTTTGCCCTTGGAGCTGAAGGTCATACATTTCAGCATCTCTTCTGGCTCCAGCTCCACCAACATAGCGACCCCTGGGAGCAGGAGGCCAAGACCCGCCCCCAGCCTCAGGCTTTTCCGTGGAGTCAGTTTTGCTCCACGATGGAACATGGTGGCACCTGGAGGCATCGGCGGTGACGACCGGGTGTGTGTGCAGGCGCCCAGCGGGTAGAGGCCATGACGTTGCTCACCCCTCTGCCGCGCTTGGGACACCTAGGAGCCCTGCTTCCCGTCCGACCACCACCAATATCACTGTGCATCAGCTTTGATAAGAAGCAGGGCGGGGACATCGAGGTGACTTCCCAAGTTCCGTCCCTCCCTGCAGAAGCCTGCTCAAGTCCGCTCCTTGTCCTGCCGTCCCTCCAGCCTCCCACGGAGGAGGACAGCAAGGCTTTGAAAGTCCAAGCGGCCCAAGAAAGCACAGGTGCCTCGTCTGACCAAGCTGACCTCGGGGCCACACGCTTTGCCCCAGACTTCTTCCTCGCCCCCGGGAGCAGCACAGCGGCCCAGGTTGACCTCCTGGGGAGACACCGCTTCCCACTTTGCAAGTCTTCACCGTACAGAGAAGGAATTCAGAACCGCATCTGTCCCCCCACAGGGGCGTGCCACGCACTTTGTCTGGGCGGAGACGACCGCACCCTTTGACTCAAGGATTTAGTGATAACTCGGGAACAAACGCGGATGTGCTACCTCCTGGTTTCCCCCGCCCCAGGATACTTATGCCTGTTGGCCGGGTGGAGAGTCCCAGTTCCCTCCTTCCCACCACACACCCAGCCCGGGGCATTTCCCCTAGACCAGTCATGGATGCCGGCCATCGTATGGCGGGATTACCGCACCGGGAGACCCGGACTTCACCGGCCCTGTGCACGTGCACACCTGCTTTTCCTCGTGCTTTTGAACGGCCTCTGTAAGCTGCTGTTTCATTAAGAAGATCCTAACTGACGGAAGGGAGAGCATGGGAGAGCCCACCAAGGCCTTCCCTTGCAGGTCCCTTGGCCCCCAGAACACCGGTCCCTGGTCTCGATCTGCCTATGAGCATGGCGTATGCAAAGGCTGCCCCAGAACCCCACCCTCCTGGTCCCCAAGGAGGCTGCGGTTTCATCCTGGTTCCCAACAGGGAGCAAAGGGCTGCCTAAGGCACCCCGTGCCTTCCACACCGGATGGCTCCCTTATGCAGTCTTAAAGACCGGTCAGTTTCTTCCTGTTACTGGGTAAACTTTTGGAATGTGTTATTATTACACAAGCTTTCTTCCCCTGAGTCTAAGCCAGGAGAGGGTTTGAGGTTTTAAGGAAAAGGTCACCTTGCTTCTCATTTTGCAGCGTGAACCATGATACGAAGGTTAAATCGGGAGCAACTGGCAGCAGCATTTTGTGTAGGCTTAGAGCTGGACGAAATGCACTGTCACTCTGACCCGGATTCCCCTCTCTGAACCTCTAGAACAATCCATCCCACACTGATGGAAAGAGAATGGGGTCTCATGATCAAATTCACCGGGCACCACTTTAAATCCTCTCGCTTGTCCCCGGATCTGAGTATGACACGAGTTGTAGCCACAGGGGAATGGATCACACATCAGGCCTGGATACGCCGGGAGGCTCCGAGCAGGTGCGCCAGGCCTATTTATACCGGGATGACCTTCCGATGACGGAGGGGAGAATCAGGGGCGCGGTGAGAACGGTGACTGGGTAATGCCGTAGGAAGCTGCTTCTAGCTCGGGGTCACGGACCTCACATCTGCTTTCTGCAGGCAGCTTTGGCTCCAGACATCTCCAAATTAACATTCTCTAGATAGGGAAGGGCACAGATTACTCCTGAAACAGCACCGCAGAAATAATGGGGAGTGGTGCCTGGCTTGTCGGGGTAACAGGGAGAATTCAAATGGCCCCAGTGCACCAGGGGGATCTGATGGGTCGGTGGCCCATGCAGTTGGACTCTGTCTATACGGGCTCCCCCCACTGAAAGCCGCTCCAGCCACGGCGTCTGGACTGACCACACTGCAGAGCCGGGGAGCGGGCAGCCACCGAATGGAGGGTCCCACTGGGCTCCGCGAAAGGAGAAGCTCTGCTGGCGTATTTAACGTGGGACGAAAGTGATGGAAATCTTTCCACCGAGCAGTGGGAGGGGCTCCCTCTCCCCCGACACAGGCGCTGAGATCCTGGCCAGCGGCCAGCCGCTCCTGAGAACCAAACCCCTAATATCCACTCGGCACAGGCTTGTGGGCAGGAAGACTTCCCTCTGCTGCTGCTGGTATGCATGAGTGTCCGGGCGGGGGGCTCTGGCACACGCTGCCCCCTCATGCACGGACCCTGGGCTCTCCTCTCATTGCCCTGTGCCTTGGTTTCCCCGGGGGTCCCTTCTAGAGCTCCGAGTAACCACAGACGGTGCGCTTGGACGGGTTCAGAAATGGAAAGAGAACAACTCGAGAGAGCACAAGCTCCGAGACTTTGTACAAGTCGTCACGATGATGGGTCCTGACCGGTACAGCAAAGTCCCGGCCTCCACCTGCAGGTGTCGGCCCACGGCGAGGGGCGCGGCGCTGGGCGGGAGGTCCTCCTCGGGTGTGCGGGGGGGGGGGGGGGGGGGGCGGGCGGGGCTCCGCGGGGGGGCGGGGGGGTCCTGCGGCCTGCAGCGATGAACTCGCATGCAGCGACAGGCGGAGTAAATGTGGCGTGTGTGTAGGACACCCCGTGACCCCTGCCGAGGGCTCGGGGCCGTAACTGTAGTTTCTCATTTGGTTCAGGGGACTGAGCGGCTTTCAGGAAGAGCCAGTCCCAGCGGACGCGTGTTCGCTCGGCTTTGCGGACAAGTCAGTGGCAGAGCGACGGACGTGGGCAGCGACCCCCATCCCTGCATTCTGCTCCGGCAGGTCACCTGAAAATTTCTCCCGGCAGTTTTGGGTCACAGAGGGAAGCAGACAGCGAGATAAATATCCTTACACTCTCCGGGCGGATCCCGAGGGAGGCCCTGGGGTCGCAGGCCCAGGCAGAAACCAAACGGGTCCGGGGAGGGCTTTGTGCAGTTGTCCCCGGCCTCGGCCGGGCACAGGGAGCCTCTGGTAGTCACAGTTTTTGCCGATGCTACTGCGTTGTGGTTTTCTTAACCAAGCTGCTGAAACAGAGCGGGCACATCTGGACGGGGAGTTAGGAACATTAGCCCCTGGACACCTGCTGATGCCTTGTATTTTCGTGTCCGCTTTCTCCAGCACGGGTCTGCCGCTTGCTCGGTGAGTGACTGGGGCCCAAGGCCGGCCGTGGTAGCCGGCGGCTCACAGCTCACGGGTGGGTAGGGAGGGTGGAGATGGGGGCCGGGGACACTCATCTGCTCCCCGGGAAGCCCGCAGCAGCACAGACAAGGCTGCGGTCCCGAGGAGAGCTCTGCTGGGAGCGTCTCACCGCACCTGCCTCCACTCTCCGATGGGTCAGGCTCACCGCACAACCTCTTCTGTGGCTGGACGAGACATCTGCCTGTAGCAGTCCGCTGTCGAGACCTGGAGGGCGGCTGTGTTTTTCCACTGCCACAGCGTGGACCCCCTGCTCGCTCACCTGGACGTGGGCAAGTGCCAAGTAATATTTAGGAAATAAGCGAATTTTCACTAAAGTGGTGACTCAGGTCTCTTCTACCTTAACCATTTCCTGGCTGCTTGCGTTCAGGGCTTGGGAGAGTATGAGATCCGTCCGTCCCTCTGTCCCTGCCTCACCATCTGCGGGCAGATGTGGAAGTGACAGTGAATACGGTCGGTCCCCGGGAATCTGAAGGGCCTCTCTCAGGAACGAAATGAAGTTAAACGCTAAAAGCAACGAAAGTCTGATTTCAGTCTGATTACTTTGAAATAGTACAGCACACCACCTTCTCGGTGCAGACGTCTAGTGACGGTGTTTGCTCTGGCAGGGACCTGGCGCCAGAAGTGGAGATGAGATCAGCCGTGCACACCGGGGCTGGTCTCCTCGAGGCATTCCTGCCGGTGCGGCTCCTAACGCCGCAGGAAGACGCTGGGCTTCTGCTCCGAGCTCCCGTGGAGCACGTTTTCCGGGCTTTCCGGGACGCACGTTAGCCCAACCTCTGTAGTGTTCAAGGTCATCATGGTGCTATGAAAATTCCAAGCATTTCACAGAGCTGTCTTGACGCCCCCTCCAAACACCCCTGTCTTCGGGGGGGCACCTCTTCTTGGCTGAGAGAAGCATCTGTCCACAGAGCTCACAAGTAGCCCCTCCTGAGCCAGGCTGCTGTGTGGAAGGGTACTGGGGCCCCGTGGCCGGGCCTCCCCTCTCTCCTGGCGGCAGCCCACAGATCTGCATCCCACATGGTCCGGCCCCGGCCCCGCCGTCCCGCGCTCCTGTTTTCTCGTCTGCTGTGTCCGCAGGGGCTGCGGGGCCCCGGAGAGAGAGGGAGAGCGGTGGGTCCCGTCCTGAGAGCCTCTCCCTTGCTCCCTCACTCATTCACTGTCTGTCAGGGGCCCCTTCGAAGCTGGCTGTCTCAGAGCCCGGGGGACGTCTCTAGGACGCAGCCGGCTGGCCCGAGACCTCATCACAATCCGAGGGACGGAGCTTCTGTGCCGGGTGGAGCTCAGAACTAATCGGGAAAGATCCTCAGGTGCCGTTCTGTGAGCGGAGGACGGCCGAGCTCCTCCGAAGCCTGCGCTCCGGGAAGCAGAGGAAGGAGAGTCCGCGGGGGGCGGGGGGGGGGGGGGGGGGGGCAGCCGCTTTGACTCTCCATTTCCACTTCCCACCTTCCTGGACGCAAGCTGATGCCGACGCAAGCAGGCTCGTGCCCCTGGAGGGGAGGTCACAGGTGTGCCGGCCTCTCGAGCGCCTCTCTCTGGTCTCGGCGTTGGAAAGGATCCCAGCCCTGGAAACGCTCCGTAATCAGAACCACAGAAGCGGGTTTTAAGGAAGCTGGTGCTCCGCCGGTGGGTCGACCTTCAGAAGGCGGGGAGGGGTAAGATCCGAAGCTCTGGGAACAGCCGGTTCCATCCAGCTTCGGGGCAGCACCTTCTCGGGACAGTGAGCCCAGGGGCCAGGCAGGCTGTCACAGCGCCACCGCCGCTGGAGCTCGCCGAGGGGACAGGACGAAGACAGGGAGCAAGTCTACCACGGCTCACAGCCTCCGTCCTGGAGAGGACGTTAACGTCATATATGGGCGTATCCTGTTAGCGTCTCCCAAGGTTAACTGGCTCGGGACGCGAAGCCCGGAATATGCTACCGTGTGCACCTCAGGAAAGGACCAGAAGACACTGCCATCCAGGACGGATGCCCTCCCTGCACACAAGGCCCAGCAGGGGCCGCTCCCCATGCTGACGGGTCCCGAGGCGGCTACAAGCAGCTGGTGGCAGTGAGACTCGGGACCCCTTGGCCAGCGGCCAGCGGCGGTGTGGCGTCGGCCCGGAGAAGGAAGCAGAGGTTGGACGTGTGATGGGCCCCCTCCCCTACCCAGGGACATCTGGGCCCCAGGTCTGTGACCAGCAGAAGGCCTGCGAGGTCGCTTCAGCCAGAGCCCCTCAGATCTACACCCCTGCCCCGCTATAAATCCTACCGCCCCTGCTGCTCAGACCTGAGCCCCATCTCTCCCCCCGACAGCAGAGCCTGAACCTCTGGTCCCTGAACACATCACCATGGAAGTCCTCCTTGTTGCTAACAAGTGTGGCCAGTAACTGTGTCTTTAACAGTCTGGATGTTTATTTTCTTACATCCCCTGTGAGAGCGCCAGCTGCGTAGGCCTGAGCCCAAAACCAGAGACCGGGATGGCCTCCCAGAGCCCACGATGCCAGGCCCTTAGCACAGGAGAGGCCTGTGCGGCCTGGCTCAGTGGTCTGGAGACCCCCAGGGGCCCAGAGACCTAGTGACCCCACATCCTGGAGACCCACAGGTACCCAGACCCAGAAAACCAGCAGCCCAGCAGCCCAGTGGCCTGGAGACCCACGGGGGCTCCAAGACCCAGAGAACAAGCAGCCCAGAGGCCCAGTGGCCAGAGACCCAGAGAACCAGCAGCCCAGCAGCCCAGCGGCCTGGAGACCCACGGGGGCTCCAAGACCCAGAGAACCAGCAGCCCAGTGGCCCTGAGACCCAGAGAACGAGTATCCAGTGGCCTGGAGATGGACAGGGACCCTGAGACCCAGAGAATCAACAGCCCAGTGGCCCAGCAGTCTGGAGATCCCTCAGGGGCTCCAAGACCCAGAGAAGCAGCACCCATCCGCCCAGCGACCTGAGGGGCTCCTGCACCCTGTCCCTGAGTGACGGTGATCCCTGCTCTGTCCTTAGTGATGGGAGCAGCTGCGGGGTCATCGGAAGCTGTCTCTGAAGTGTTAAAGGGCTCTCAGGCCCGGTGTTGCAGCAAGGGTGGGCCCTGGTCTGTGCCCGTAAGATGCCAGGTGGTTCCGAAGGCCCCTGAGAGGGCAGCCCGGCCGGGGGACAGGGCCACGGGCCCCTCTGGTCTGCACCAAGCTGCTGCGCCCCGCACCTCACCTCCTCGTCACCCGTGTGAGCTGGGCACGGCCCCGGGCGACTTACGTTCCAGTCTATGGTCACAAAGAAAGGGTGCCGCTTGATCTCCTCCACTCCGTCGACGCCAGCGCCTGTCCCGAGGACAAAGCAGACATGAGCATTAGAACAAACCCCTGTTTCCATTACCTCTGAGAGCTTCTGCACAGCAGCCTGAGGGGCTGGGGGTGCTCAGAGCACCTCCCTAGGCCTTCCTCCTGCGGGAAGGGCCCCTGTTCACCGGCCTCACAGCCCACAGAAGCCACGTTCTGCCCTGCAGGCCTGTAACAGCGCCACGGAAAGGGGCAGGGCAGGCTGGAAGCTTCCCGCTGTGGGGATGGGGGTGCCAGGGAAGCTGGAGGGGGACACTGGAGGCCATCGCAGCCCAGCTGCACGAGGGCATCCATCCCTCCCTCCAAGTAGGCACATCCCCGACATGGGGCTCGACCTCACAACCCTGAGAAGATCAAGAGTCACATGCTCTACCAACCGAGCCGTCCAGCACCCCCGCCCCTGCCAGCTGCCCCATCAAAGCCCACGAATGCTAGCTCAGGCTGGCCTTCCGGAAGGGGGGGAACGTGCAGGAGGAGGGGGAGGGCAGGCTGCAGTGCGGAGCACCTTGTCAGGCGGCTGCTCTGGTTTGCAGGGAAGGGGCAGACAGCAGGATGGGACCCAGAGAGACACTGGTGTCCACACCTGCGGCTGCGGGGGCCCCCGGAGACGGCGCGTAAATAGTTCTGCTGGGTTTGCTCACTGTGCCGGCCTCTCTTTCCTTTGCTGCTTACGTTAAATCCTGGGACGGGGGAGCAGGCGAGGGCTGAGCCTGCAGAGCGCGGAGGGATCGGGGCAGGGAACCTGCTCTGCCCGCTGTGGCGACATAGTGACACGTCTGCGGGAGCTGCACAGGCAGCGTGAGGCCTGACGCGGACGCTGCCAACGGGGGCTCATCCGTTAAAATGAAGGCGCGCACTGACATCAGCTTGGGTTAGGGGACCTGCCTGGGGCCCGGCGCCGGGGTTGGGGGGGGCGGTACGAGGGAACTTGCTGTACTTCCTGCTCCATTTTTCTGTAAACTTAACACTGCTCTAAAAGGAAGTCTGTTACTTCAGGAGAACCCAAACTCTCAGGCCCTAAGAGCTTTGGGTTTTCTCCAGGATGGGAAGGCAGGAGAGGAGCCTCAGTGGGCCAGGGAGGGGGCAGGGGGCCCGGGGATGTGGGAAGAGAGACGGGCTACATGGGCCAGGCCATCTAAAGCCAGCTCCTGTCTCGGGTCTGAGGACAAGGGTTCCATGTCACGTGGTTTGTGAGACACAGACTTCCCGGTACTGCACCCCAGGCTCTGTAAGCCCAGCCCCGCTGTAGGTCAAGGCCTGGTGTCTCGGGCTCCCTGTTCAGCCTGCATCCCAGGAAGGTGGGTGCTGGTGGCTGCTGGCTGAGATGGGAGGGACCAGGAGCAGGAAGGTGTGGGAGACGGGGAAGCCTCCCCCAGCTGATTATCAGAACCAAAGAAGGGGTCTTGGAAACTCCGAATTTCTAGCTGGTTGGTCGGAATCACAGGGGATGCCCTGGGCGGTGGGATAGAGCCCGGGTCTAGGCCAACCCTGGGTGCTTAGTGCCGGACACCCAAGCTGGTGTCTCCTGGGAAGTGAAGAATTTGTGGGTGTGGAAAACCCATGCATCTGGTATCAGAAGGTTTGGCACGAGTAGAGAAAAACGCGTTCTATCCTGCGAGGACCTCCTCCTGAGGACTTCTCTGGGTTTCCCAGTCTGGCCCCTTTGTTCTGAGATCTGAACCCTGCAGCCAGCAGCCCATGAGAGGTACCCAAGCAGACGCTCTCGGGAACCGTGGAGAATGAGTCGGCAGCCTGACTCCCAACATGGTCCCCCCTTCAGCCCGTCCCGTGGGCAGGCCTCCTCCTGAAGACCAGAGCTCTGGACGGGAAAATGCTCCTAGTCCCGAGGATTAAAGTTCCCAATCTCAACCCCTGTTTCCGATCTTAGCTCTTTTTGGTGCTTCTGGAAGCACCGTGGGTCTGTCAGAGGTGGGTGGGTCGAGCACACGCTCAGAGCCCAAGGGGACACACACTGGCCACGCCACCCATCGGCTAAACGTCTCCGGAGAATCCACATGCATTTTGCACCCGTTCCATTTCATCCTCATGCATCATTTGCACGAATGGGGCAATTGATTATTGGGGCAATTTAAGCCCAGTGAGATGCAAAGGAAATGGAGCTTTTGGTGCAACTCCAAATTCCACACCGACGCGTGCTGGTTTCTCAGCGACTCACCCGTGCGTTTTTATTTGCAGCTTCTTTCTTCTGCTGAGTGAGGTTGGTGCTTTGAGGCTTGTTTCTGGGCCACATGGCATGTTCGACAGTGAATTAATTAGCACTTCGGTTATTACTCAAAAATTAGAGGCGTTCCAAAAGGAGAAAATGTGAAAAAGAAGGGAAATTTCTGCACACAGTTCTTTAAGGCCTACGTCATCCTTCCTGGGCACACACGGGCATTGTCTTGGATTCCAGTGTTACTTATCCTCCCCTGAAACGAGGTAAGCGGGTTGTTTTGTACTGATGACCCCTTTCTCTGTCAGCTGAACACGGGTGCCAGTGGGCAGAGCTCTGGGCGAGGAGAGTCAGGGAGGGCTGTGCCGATCCCTCCATCACAGCTGGGGCCGTGCGGTCCGACCCGTCTGGATCGCACAGAGTGGACGAGGGCAGGTACTTACAGACAGCAGCGTCCAGAACCGAAGAATGATCCTCGTCTCTTATTAGGCTCAGTGAGTCTTCATGAAGTCCGCCAATGTCAGGTCAAGATGGGTTAAAAAGTTCAAGGGAGCGGCTGGCTCAAAAACTCACACTCTGCGGAGCAAGAGCACGTCTGTCCCCGCAGTCCCTCTGCAGATGGGACTATCCCTGAGCGGGTTCACGGGGACCCACGTGTCCCACTTCTGCACGGTGGTGTGGGCGTCACCTCACGTCCAGCGGGACTCGCTTCCGTCCGCGCACGTCTGTGAGCGTGTCCCCCGCCTGCGCTGGGGGTTTGCCCTGCGGCACTGATGACAGTCTGCCCGGTGTTCCACAGCCCTACCAAGGCGACCTCCCTCACTGGGGTGGGGGGGGCAGTCGTCACCTGGCTTCTACCTTCTCAGTAGATCACTCTCAAAAGGCTTCGGTATCTGCCCCAGACATTTTCATAGTTTCTTCATTTCCACAGACGGCGCTGGGAACGCTGACTCCCGGGCCCTCTGAGATGCCACCGACGTGTTCGCGCTGTTGTTTCTGGGCCACATGGCATCCACTACAAATTCTTTTTTTTCCCAATTTTTAATTTTAATTTTTTTAAGTGTCACCTCTATCTGAAATGTGGGGCTTGAACTCACAACCCCGAGATCCAGAGTCCCACGTCCCCCCGGCGGAGGCAGCCAGGCGTCGCTCACGTTGAATTCGGGGCACACGTTCCGAACAAGCTCGCTTCCCGCTCCCGCCCCTGCACCCCCGAGCTCCGCCCGACCGCACGCCGTCATGTAGGGCCGTCCCACCGGGGACGTGAGCACGAGGTCTGCTTCTTACCTCCCCACCGCTTACTCGGTATCCACACGTTATTTCCACCATTTTGAAGTAGGTCCTTTTAAGATTTCATTCACTCAGGGGTTAAAACATTGGCTTGGCGGTGGCTCTGAGGACCGCTTTGAGCGGGCCGAGAACTTGGTCTTGACCACGCCGTGCAGGGAAGCAGTGAGGCCAAGCAGTCCGCATGCGACCCCCACCCCGGCCCCGGGCGCACCGATTCTCTCCACGTCTGTGTGGATTTGTGTCCTGCACGTCAGGCACGGTTCCAGCTCTTTCCATCTTTCTGGCCGTGCTACGAAGCTTGCAGACAGGGAAGCCGGCCCAGAGAGGGGCATACATCTGCTTGAGGTCACTCGTAAGGAAGTGCCAGGCAGCATGCAGTCCTCGGCCCGTCGGCCCAGAGCTGCCTCCCGAGGCTCCTCACGAGTCCCCCTCTCCTGGACCACACTTGCCATCGTCCACGTCCCAGCAAGCCTCTCTCCTGTTCGATGAGCTCTGCCTTCTCCCTCTCTCTCTCCATTTGCTGCTTCCTTGGTGAACGCCAGTTTCTCTCTTCTGCTTCACTGCAGCCCCGTGAGAAGGAGGACCATGGTTGTGCTCCACTGTGTCGCCAGACCCAGAGCCTAGAAAGCACGGGCGAGCCCCATGCAGGTGTGTATTATTTCTAGATTACATACTACACACTCCCTCTCCTCCCTACTAACGGGTCCGTAAGGTCCGTGGAGAGGAGTGAGAAACGGGGTTGGAGGTGCTGGGGGAAGGCAGGCCAGCCACCAAACCTCACTCAAGCATGCTCATCTTTGTTGAATACCCCCGCAGCTGACCGGGGAGGCTGGCTAATAAGACAACCATTTCCAATCTCCCATTCCTTGAATCCTGATACTTTTCCCCCACTTTTAGTTATAAGTGCCATTCAATAGTTTCCAGTCAGCAAGAAGTATGGGGAGGTCCCAGGGTTTGAGGAAAGCTTTGCCTTCCTGATAAGAGAGGCAGACACAGCTGCCCTTATCCATTACCTCCTTTCAACCGAACGTGACATCTGGAGCTGTGGCAGCCACTTTGTGATCACAAGGCACCACTCATGACGATGAAAAGCAATGCCCTAAGGATGGTGAACTAAAAAGATAAGCAGATCTGGGCTTTAACCATGGTTTGGCTGCCCAGTCAATGCTTTTAACCCTGTACTGCATGTGACTTGCAACTGTAAAAAAAAATGGACTACAGTTTGAAAAATTCAATTGTTGACTTAAATAAAGTTACTTAAGTGTTCTGTGCTTTGCAACTATAAGTAATTCTTACAGGTATACCTCCCTCATGAGCAAATCTGAGTGTCTCTCTTTCCCTACCTGGAAGCCTCTCGTGAGGGTTTCAGTGAGATAATGATTTTCTTAGTGCAGTGCTCCATGCACACCACCGTCCTCCCTGGGGGACCGAGGCCTGGGAACAGGAGTAAGCTGTTCAGCTGGTTGGTTAAAGAACCACTGGGGCAGAGGAACAGGAGAGCCGCCCCTGGCTGTGCAGAGAGGCCGTGTGCACGCTGGCTGGGAGAAGAGCACTGGGGAAGGAGTCACAGAATCAAAATACAGGTGCTCCCAGGTGTTGGGACCCAGCATCAGGAAGGCCAACAAAACAACACGGGGACTCCGACTGGGTGGGCTTGCGGTGGGGGGGGCGGTCCGGAAACGAGTGGAAACAACTCGCAATGACATTTGTGTGCACTCCAGACTCGGAAGCAGGCAATCTGCAGGTGAAGACGGGCCAAGCGGCAGCGTGGGCTGGCCCTGCACAGGGAGTATCTCGGAGTTACTCCCACTCGGACGGAGACAGTAATGAAAGGTAATCAATTCATTCACGATCTGGAGAGTCAGATCAGAGATTGGCAAACAATTAGGATCTTGGTGTGGCTTTTAGAGACGAATTAGAGGGAGTGATGGTGAACAGACGAAATTGAGGGATACATCTGCTGTTTGCTTCCCTCTCACAGTTAAGAAGCGCGGCCACCTCCTCCCCAGAAAGCACAGCGATGAAGGGGAGGGTTTGCTCTCTCTTGGGGAGCCCCCAGGCCAGCCTCCATGGGATTTAATAAAAGTGCAGCAAGACATCAATACCCGGACGGAGCGGCTGATGCAGGCCCCCAACTCCCCATCTGTGCTCCTGGGGCCAAATTCTCCTGCTGTCCCCGTGACCCTCACCCGCAGGACAGGGTGGCTCTGCGGTGATGGGGGCCTTGCTGGCGGCAGCCCCATGGCAGATACAGGGAGACCATCGATGTGGAGAGAGCATGGACCCTTCTGGCTGTCTGGAGCTGCTGTTTGTGGGGCACACAGGGACAGGGACCACGCAAGGGGAGTTCCCAAGGATGTGGTGCATCACCTGCTAGAGCTGGGTCATTCAGAATCGGGGCCCTGGCTTCGCCCTGGTCAGCCAGGACGGGAGGGCCTGGGATGATTCTTAGTTGGCGGCTTTAGGTCCCATCTGGGGCTTTGCTGAGGTGCACGGGAACAGCAAGGTGGAGGAATTCAGTTTTGCTCAAGGTTCCTCCAGATCGTGACTCAAACCCACATACGCCTGATCAGCCTCTGAATGTCAGTGTGGAGCAAAACCCAGTGGAGACTGCCATGTGCCCCAGCCTGGACCTCAGGGCTCCCTGCCATCCCTGCTGGCCCCTGGTGGCTCGGCAGCCCAGTGACCACAGCTGCTGTGCACAGAAGGCCTCTGGCCAGAGTGAGCGGCCCCTGCCTCTAGGGCCTGGTGTCTGGGGCTCTGTTTGGGGCGGCCTGTAAGGTGTGTGCAGTGATCGCACGGGCTGGTTGTGCTCAGAGTCATCTGACAGCAGTCGTTTTAACACATGACATCTGGGGGGCTGTGCGAGGCAGCTGTCGGAGCAGGGCCCACGGAGCTCTCCCCACACCCCCTGGCAGACACCGGCTCTGGGATCCGTTTAGACTCTGCAGCAACTCATCAATGTGGTTGGCTCCATCCTGGGCATCTCCCCAGGCGGGGTTAACAGAGCAGTGGGTCTCCAGGGGTCAGTGGTGGCACCGACCCAGGGCCACATCTAGACACAGTTCGCTTTGCTACGGTGGGGAGGGAGGCATCTAGGGAGAGAGCGGGATGCTGCCTGACATCCTACAGTCCAAGATGGTCTTCCCTGAGAAATAATTACCCAGCCGAGATGTCACCCGTGTCACGGTGGAGACACCGGGGGACAGCTGGTCCCATTTAGTTATTTATTTATTTGAGAGAGAGACAGCGAGCGAGCATGAATGAGGGCAGAGGGAGAGGGAGAGGCCGACGCCCACTGAGCCCCCCAGGTGCCCCCTGCTTACTCTGTTAAATGTGCCCTACGTCTGGTACAGAGGTGCCATAATTTACCCAATTGTGTCCTTACTGACGGACGGTCACCTTATCTCCAGGTCTTTGCTAAACAGAAAGATCATCAACAAGCATTTTTTAACATGTGTAACTTACATGCTCGATAGACTTCTAGAAGTAAAATTTCTGGGTAAAGCATTGTATACAGTTTAAAGCATTGATGGGTTTTGCCAAAGTGTTAAAATGTCGCCCCATCTGCTGTCTTGGTGACGACGACGGTGGCGGGGAGCAGGGGGGCCCACACTCTCTGTTCCGCTAGCCAGTGTTTGCCACCATGCGGGCAAACCCGTTGTCTGTGTCCTTGTTCTCCAGGTCCCCACATAGCCCACACACTGTGCGGCACCTGCTTCCGCCCAGAAGGTTCCACCGCATCACTGACCTAATGTCACTATGCTGGGCACATGCACCAGCACCTGTGATGACGAGAAGTGAGGACCTGAGAGTGGGCAAGGACGACTCAGCAGCTGGGGTGACTCATGGGCAATCTATGCAAGAATTCATTTGGAGGAGAAACACCACTGAAAAGCAACTAGGGGAATCTTTTGCAAAGAATTATTTTGAAAATGTGTTAGTACTTAGTTAACATTCATGTAAATCTTGATTTTAATATATGTTGAGATTTACTCATTTAAGAGGGACTAAATAAGAATCAGCTTTCAGCTGTTCTGTCCTTAGTTTATGGGGTTCTGAAAGGGAAGTGAAAAGTGCTACCATTTTATGTAGAAACAGTGACTTACAGAAAAGAGCCCATAGGACTTGGCCAGCGACTGGGTTTTGGAGATCGCTGGAGCAGGGACACAGGACACTATTTGTACCCCTGCTTCAGGAACTTCGCTTTCAGTGAACTTGGACAAACCTGTAGCCAGACAAGAGGGGAGCAGGTGGCGGGCAGCCCCTGCCGTCTACGGGGTGATGGGACTCTTACCCAGTCGGTTGCATGGGTTCCGCTTGAATAGGGCTCTCAGCAGACTCTGGGCCTCCATGCTGAGGAACTGCGGCATGCCCAGCTTGGCTCTGCAAAACAGAGTTGGAGTTTGGGATGGGAAGGATGACCAGAGTTTTCTTGGGGCACTCTGGGGTCCCGCTCAGTCCGCATCAACACCCAGAGCAGCAGCGCCCAGACTCTTGGTCTTAGGGCTCCTTCACACTTTAGAAGTCATGGAGGGCATCAAAGAGCTTCTGTTTATGTGGGTTCTACGGGAGAAATTTGTATAGTAGCTATTTAATAATTCACTTAAAAATAATACAAACATCAAAAATAAACAATAAAAATCCCATTAACGTAAGTAACATTTTTAATGGAACTGAATTATGTTTTCCAAAATAACAACAAAGGCTTTGGCCAGAAGAGTGCTATTGTTTACATTTTGGGAATCTCTTCTGGGTTAAATGACAGACAGCCAGATACATTTTTTTTTTTAAAGATTGACTTATCTGAGAGAGAGAGAGAGAGCATGTGTGTGCAGGGGGGCAGGGAGGGGCAGAGGGAGAGAGAAGCTTTTGCTGATTCAGAACTAAGCGCAGAGTCCGATGTGGGACTTGATCCCAGGACCCTGAGATCATGACCCGAGCTGAAACCAAAGAGACTACCACTCAACCAAATGAGCACCAGGTGCTCAACAGCCAGATCCTTTTATCTGTCTCTGCTCAATCTGTTGCAGTACCGTGAAGAAAAATCTGGGACTTCACAGAACTAGAATAAAAACCCTAAAATTTGTGTGGAACCAGAAAAGACCTCAAATTGCCAAAACAATCTTAAAAAAGAAGAACAAATCTGGAGGCATCAGAAGTCCAGATTTCAAGTTATATTACAAAGCTATAGTCATCCAAACAGTATGGTACTGGCACAAAAATTGACACATAGCTCAATGGAACAAACCAGAAAGCCCAGAAATAAACCCACAATTATATGGTCAATTAGTCTTTGACAAAGCAGGAAAGAATACCCACTGGGAAAAAGACCATCTCTTCAACACATGGTATTGGGAAAACCGGACAGCACCATGCAGAAGAATGAAACTGGACCATTTTCTTACACCACACACAAAAATAGACTCAAAATGGATGAAAGACCTAAATGTGAGACCTGAAACCATAAAAAATTCTCGAAGAGAGTGCAGGCAGTAAGCTCTGACTCACTGAGATGTGTCTCCTAAGGCAAGGGAAATAAAAGGAAAAATAAACTATTGGGACTGTCTCAAAACAAAAATCTTCTGCACAGCGAAGGAAAGAACCAACAAAGCTAAAAGGCAAACTACGGAATGGGAGAAGACGTCTTCAACTGACGCATCTGATAAAGGGTTAGTACCCAAAATACACAAAGAACAGATACAACTCAACATACCCCAGACAAATAAGACAATTTAAAAAAATGGGCAGAAGACATGAATAGATATTCTTCCAAAGAAAAAGCAGGATGGTGGACAGACACATGAAAAGATACTCCACATCACTCATCATCAGGGAAATGAAACCAAAGCTACAGTGAGATGTCACCGCACACTGTCAGAAAGACTAAAACCCAAAACAGAAGAAACAGCAAGTGGGCAAGGATGTGGAGGATGTGCAGAAAGGGGAACCCTCTTGCCCTACTGGGACTGCAAGCTGGTGCAGCCACTTTAGAAAATGGTTCCTCAGGAGGTAAAAACAGAAGTGCCCTGTGATCCAGCAATGACACTACTAGGTGTGCCTGAGCACAAAGATTACGAAAACACTAACTCGAGGGGTAGATGACCCTGCGTTTACAGCAGCATCACCTACAGTAGCCGAGCTATTGGAGCAGCCCCGGGAGGAGCGTGCAGGCCCCAGCAGCGTGTCAGACCCCCGGGGTCCTCCGATCATGCTTTAGGACCCATGGGGCCACATGCTGCTGGTTCAGAAGCGCTCATCTGCTCCCAAGTGAAAACTGGCAAGTCAGGAGTCCACACCTGGGATTAGCTCCAGAGAATTATTCTACTTTTAGAAAAAGTAAAGATCTTGTTCCCCCTTAACATTAAGAGAAACAGAGATAGCCCACACCAGACAACAGACTGCGGCCATACATGTGTTGGTCCAACAAGGGTCACGTGATACCGGAAGACACTGATCAAATCCTCTCTGTGGGGTTTCCTGCAGTAACTTCTCTCTTTCCATGTAAACAATGGGGTTTAAAAAGCTTAAGCTTTTCAGGTGCCTCTTGCTTTCCCAAAATCCATCGGCCGTGTCTGAAAGAGCTGGTTGTGAGGACCAGTAGCTTTATGGCGTGTCCTCCCGGTGCAGGAGTCCACATCCTCGCACAGCAGGGGGACCTCGATCTGGAGCTGGGGTGTCCCTGTTCCCCAGCTGCAGCCCTACTCCCACCACGCTCCTGTTTCCTCCTCCCAGATCTTTCCCCCCGACGTCGCGCTTAGAAGGAGCATGCTCACATCTGAGGTGTTATAGCGAGACCAGCATGGGGTTTAGGCTTCTTTCTAGAATTCTAAGAGCAAAATGCATTTACATGGTATATGATTCTTCCTGAGAATTGAACAGAAAACTTGTTTGTATTCTGTTACACGGGCATCATGATTCCTGCCAACGTCAGGCAAGAGGGCTCAGGTACCTGCACAAATGGGGTCAAGAGGTAGAGAAAGAAAGAGGACCCCCCTCCTTCGTTCTCTCTGGAGCCCCTATTCCTTCTGCCCTTCTGAATCTGTACTTTGTTTGTGAAGGTCACTAATCACCACACCTAAAATCCCTGCACTGGACAACGTGAGCAGTTTTCACTGGTGGGAAATGTTATCTGTGGTGGAAGACGTCATCAGGACCCCTCGGCCATCGCACTCACTCTGTCCACTGTAATTAAACGCCAAGAATGCTTCTTACGGTGATTGCTAATGCCTACTCGAGGACCTGGGGTTCCAACAAGGAAGCTCTGATATCGGAAGCCACGAAGGAGCACTGGACGGGTCTGCAAGGGAAGCGTCTCGTACTCACTTGAGGATGAGGGCCATGGTCTCCTTCCTGTCCTTGCCCTGGAACGGCAGCGATCCCGTGAGCATCTCGAACTGCAGAGCAACACAGAGCGGGGAGAGTGAGGGTCCAGACTGCCCGGGTGGAACAGCAGAGAGCCCGGGTGGCGAAACGCAACCGAAGTTCATTTATCCCAATCCCGATGCGCTAAGCCGAGGTGCTGGCCGACACGCGCGGTGTCCGTGAGCGAGCGCAACGGCCTCGAGTTCAGGGGGCGGGCGGGCAGGCGGGAAACACCAGGAGTAATGAGACTGCAGTGGGGGAGGGGCTGAGGGCTGCGGAGGCAGAGGGTGGGTGAAGGGATGGCGGTTGGGCTGGGCAGCTTCTGCGGGGCTGGTGGAGGACCCCGTCCTCCTCTGGTGGGTGCTGTTGAGGGGACCAGGGCAGAATGACTTCGGTCCGTTTGGAGCATCTGGTGAAAACACGACGGCACCACAAACATCTCCAATACCGGCTGCCACGCACTGAAAACAGTAAGCGGACCTTTGGCAGGATGGGCTCCGTGGTAAAGACGGGACTGAGGGCCAGCCTCCCCCGAGCGAGGCTTCTCTCTCACACAAAACCCCTGAGGACAAGTGCACCGCTGACCCTCCCGAAGGAAGGAACGTGGCAGCAGCACCACCAAACCCCGTCCGGGACACAGGGCACCAAATCTAACTGAATCAGGCCACAGCCTCGGTCCCCGGCCGTGTCCTCTTGTCATTCCAAATTACTGCAGAGCCGTGAACAGCACAGACGCCAACAGCACAGCTGTGAGATACCCACGTGTATGCACGGGTCTCCTTCTGCTAACTGCGGTCCTCTACTATAAATACATTTGCTTTTATGATTTTCCTAATAACACTGTCTCTTCTAGAGCTTACGTATTGTCAGAATACAGCATGTGATACATAAATGTACAAAATGCGGATTAATCTACTGTTTATGTTATTGTAAGGCTTCTGGCCAACACCAGGCTATTGTTAGTTAATTTTGAGGGGAGTCAAAAGTTACACGTGGATTTCTGACGACCTTCAGGGGTCAGCGCCCCTCATCCCCATGTTGTTCAAAGGTCTACATATAAGAAAACAACTTCACTGCAGGAATTTGTAAGATCTTACTACATTTGCCTTACTTTTGATTTTGACGGCATCTCTCTGTCCCTTTAAAATTTATTCTATAGTTTTTTTCCTCTGCATTATGAAAATCTTGGGAAACATATCGAAGTAGAAAGACCAGAACCATAACCCGGAATCCCATTACTCAAAGAAAGCCACAATTAACACGTTATTTCCTTCTAGTTCTTTCTTGAAGCTGTTTTTTTTTTTTAAACATGGTTTTATATACTCACTTTTCACAGAATAAGATAAAAACTTCCCATACTGATTATAAAGTCTTCATCATATCACCTTCTATGTGGATGTGCCAAAATACATGTATCTGTTGCTGGACACTTAGAACACTTCCAACTTCCCGCTATTGTAAGTAAGGCTGGAATGTACATAAAAGCTTTCCTAAGATTTGGAGCTGTCCTTGCGATGCGCTACCAGGAGTGAAATCACAAATCACAAATTAAAGAAATGCACGCGGTTAAGGCTTTACGAATCCTCTCGGTTTGCTTTGGGAAAGTAACATTTTAAAAGAAACTTAAAGGTTCCTACTCGCTGCGTGTCTGTCCCGGGCTCACTCGTTCGATGAGGGCGCACAGAACAGACCGCGGGCGATCGGTCAAGACGTAAGTCGTACGAACTGGGAGCGAGAGAGTCGGAGAGAATGGGAAAGCAGACAAACACGACCAAACTGAAAGGCAGAACGCTCTGACAGATGAGCCGCTCGTCCTGAAAACAGGATGAAAGTCTGCAAGTTGACCCCAGAAATTAAAATACCTCTTAAAACAGAATCGTATTAGCAAAGAACCTTCTCTTCCTATTTTGGGTCTATCCTCTTCCCCCTCTGTCCTTTCTTTCTTGAGTCTACTATGAATGAAATTCTGTTTCAAGGAAATGCCTTTTAGGCCACGTGAAACAAGGAAGCTGCTGCTCGGTGCTACAAAAACGGAGCCCGTCCTAAAGTCTGCGCGTCGGGTAACAGCAACTCGCACACATTTGCTTACTGATTGCTTCTCAGCTTGGACTACGGCGCCCAGGAGCCCATCCCTTGTGTTTCTCTCCCTCCAGCCCGCCCACCTGCCTTCTACGTCGCTCTTCCCCACGCAGCACAGTGGGAAATCCTGAACCCTTTGTGAACACCCAGCACAGCGGCGTACGTGCAAGTTGGTAATGAGGATGATGGCGCCGGTGATGATGGGGAAGCCACGTACCTTCTCAGCCCACACGTGTCTCTCTGCTTTGGCTTCACTTCCAGCCCCTTGAAGGGTTCCCTTCCCATCCCACGAGGACAAAGGAAGTCATTTCAGTATTACTCTTCTCAACAAGAAACTTCTCAGTATTTAACTACGTCAGCAAATCAGGGCACTTCTGGTGAGTTTTCCTGGGACATTATACATAGTAAGAGTTTCGGTCTGGCGCTGGGCGGAACTGAGACCAGCCAAGGTTTCCCGGGCAAACGAATAGAAACCGTGGCTTGCCGTGGCGTCTCATGCTGCACCCCAGGAGCCGGGGCTGCCCCAGGGGACGCATTCACAAGTCAGCTCAAGGTAGGGCACTGAAGTGCACGGTGGGGGCCTGAAGAGACGGGGGAGCTGCACCATGAGCGGTTATGGGGTTTCCAGGAAGATAAGTGTTTTGGTGAATCTAAAGCAGTGGTTCTCCACTGGGAGCGTCTCTGCCCCCCAGGGGAAACTTTCCGAGGTCTGGGCACAGTTCTGGGGGTCATGACTGGAGGGGCTGGGGCCAGGGCGGAGGAAGGGATGCCACTTCCCACCCTACAACGCATAGGACAGCCTCCACCCAAAGAACCGTCCAGCTCCAAACCTCAACAGCGCTGGGGTTGAAACCCTGTCTACAGGGATCCAACGAACCTGAAGAGAGGGGCCAGCCCTGGGGCCCCGACACAGAGGAGCCCAGACGGTGCCTGGAGCCGCGGACTGAGAAGCTTCTGTGGAAGAGAGAAGGGAGCCTACAGTTTGAGTTCATTCGGCTGACCAACAGTCTTAAACACGAACTCAAGAGCAAGCTGCATCTTAATCTGAAAACGGGGCTGCTGGAGACGGCAGCCCCGAACGAACTCTAGGTGTGCAGCTGCGTACGGACGATCGGCACAGACGGCTGCGGTGGACATCCAACACGTTCGGTGCCGGAGAACGGGAGAAGCACCCCAGGTGCTGTGACGTGTGACACCGCAGCACCCAGGAGAGGCTTCCAAAGCACGCAGGGAACGCAGCCCCGACGTCCAACCTGAAGACTGCACTCCAGACCCGTGTGGAATGCTAGCGTCCTGCCGTGGCAACGGAGACCCTCACTAGGGCTTACGTTCTCGTCCAGTTACAAGTACCTAACTTCAGACATTCGATTTTGTTCAAGGACGAGGATCTCCCCCATCAATGTAGGTGTCTTCATACGATCTCTCTGGAGGGCACTTGGGGATCATCAGAGGACACGGGTGTAGCTCCTCAGTGGAGAAACACAAGGGATGGGCAGCGGCCCCTCCAGCGTGAAGCTCTTAGGTCGGGCTGCTCCCTCCATGGCTCTTCCCCCCTTTAACAAAGCCAGTGGAGGGCACCTTGTAAACACAACATGCCCTCAACGGACCTCCCTCCGGAGCCAAGCTCAGACACGACACTAAAGGCCACACTAGACCCATCCCTTCCACTGCAAATGGCAATTTGGAGGTCATTCCTGGTGTTGTCCAGGAAGTGCCAAACGCAGGAATCCTGACATCTGGCTGCAAGTTCGTGCCCCTTGGGACCAAAGGGCTTGGTGGCCGGGACGATACGAAGATGTGGCTGTAGAGGCATGATGTGATCTTAAACCAATCACTGAAGAGCCTTATTTCCACTTAGAGTCTCTTCACGTAATGTCGAGATTTTTTTGGTTCAGATGAAATGCGAAGATGTCTTACAAACTCTGAGCGAGTTCCGCCACGAGCCTTCCTCCTGCTTCCAGCCACCAGGTGAAACCACAGGGCCAGAACCTGCGCCATGTGCTCCCCCAGCTGCTGTGACACACCGACTACAGGGTTCTTTCGACAAAAATGATGCCACCAGTTCAGTTAAGAAAAGCCCAGCACCCACATTCCCCGTCGTGCCAACGACGCCACACGGTCACTGGAACCAGGTCTCCCTTAGAAAAGCCAAGAACCAACCTCTGTGTGATATTCCCCAAAGTCCAGAGCATTCCTGTAGCTTTGGGACAAGAAAGGGCAGGGGACCCAGGTGGAGGGTAGGCTGGGGAGCCCACAGCCGTGTCGCCCCCCACGGGGCACGGAGCTCACTGAGCCTGGGCAGTGTTGTCTGTGATGGGAGTCCATGCGTGAGGTCATGGGGTGCCGAGGGAAGGCCTGTGCTGGGGAAACGTTCTGAGGAGAGTCTTTACAACAGAAGATGACAGACTGATAACAGCAACGGGTCAGAGTGCCAAGAAGACACAAGACAGAACCAAGCTAAGGTTCACCTTTGAATCCCACCTCCAGACATGGTCCTGGGGGTTGCATGCAGGAAGTGAGGCCGGTGGTGTGGTGGCAAGGCAGGTGGCCTGGACTCCTGGAAGCTGGGCTTGGGACACACGGGACCTGCTCTGGGGAGCAGTGACAAGGGACGCTGCCTCGGACCGGGGAGGCCATTACCATGAGCACGCCGAAGGACCACCAGTCGGCGCTCTGCGTGTGTCCCCGCCGGTTCACCACCTCGGGCGCCATGTACTCTATCGTCCCACAGAATGAGTAGGCTCTCTTGTCGTGGTCGATGGCCTCCTTACTCAGCCCGAAGTCTGAAGTGAGAAAGCACAGGGCACTGCCTGAGTCGGGGAGCACCGGGACTGTTTCCACGCGGACGCCCAGCCCGCGAGCCTCCGGGTCACTGGCGTGACTTCCACCCACTCTGTCCCGGCCACCGCACCCTCCTCGGAGGCAGGCGTCCTCACGCCCCCACAGGTATGTTCCCCAACTCAAGGTCTTTCGGGAATCGGCAAAGCCCGGAGCACCTGTAATAGCATCAGGAAACTGCATTTTGCAGAAGTCCCAGGAGCCCCGCTGTTTCAGAGGCGCAGCAGGTGGCCCCAGGCATGTTGGTGCTGAGGGCCAGTGGGCGGGGGTGGGGGGAGGCCGCTGGCTGGAGCTGCTGGGATGGGTTGGGAGGGAAGGGGTCACTCTGAAGGAAGGGGCTGGAAGGGAGTTTCAGGCTGCTGGGGAAGGAAGTCCCTGGCGGTGAGGCAGGGAGGGAAGACCTGTGAGTCTGGTAAGGACCGTGGGGTATTTGCTTGGTGCGCAGCGAGCGCGTCCCTCTCCTTCCCCAGAAACCCTCAGCATGTCCCACCTTCTTCCCAAGCTCGTGTGTCCATGCACTTGGCAGGTGAAGGACGCAGGGAACACCCTGCTTCTAAGAGGCGGGCACCTCAGTTTCCGCACATTTGGGAAGAAGGATGATATCCACCCGTTCCTTCCAGGACCTCGTCAGGATGGCGTGAGGCCAGTGCTGGGTGAGGACATCAAACACCCATGGGTGGGTTTGCTCACTCACAGTGTGAGGGGCTTGCTCTGCGCATCGGAGTCTGGGGGGTGGGCTGCGTGTCATCTGGGCCTGGCCAACACGGCAAATTACCACATTACGATTGATCATAGTCATAATAACAGCAGAATCCATGATTATTGAACCAGAGAAAGCCCAAACACAGTCATATTATCCTAAGTTGGACACGGCAGCTCCATATATGCACCCCAGCTCCGAGGCACAAGGGTGACTTCTGTAGGATGCGCACAGTTCCTCATCCGGCAGAGAACTTCTGCAGCATTAACCGAATCTTACATCCCCACCGCACACCCCGTGATCCCGACGGCACGACCTCAGAGGCCAGGTGGGCTCAGGGCTTGATGAAAGGCATAATCAGGATCTGGCATGGAAGCTCATGAGGACTTTTAGAAACCGAACTTTGAGCATTGAGAGGCATGTAAAAAATACGTAGTCAATGTTTATTGCCAGTTGCTATGCACTCCGCCCAGCCCTGGGGATCCACAAAGACGGGGTAAGCCCACCCTGGAGAAGACAGGGTGTGGTGGGGGGCAGGCCAGCAAGAGAGGGGCAGCGCGACCGCAGGGGGCCACAGAGCAGGGAAGATGAGGTCTCCGGCAGGAGTGCTGAGGGACGCTTTGAGAAAACAACAGGGGTTGACCAGGTACCCTGAAGCAGGGACAAGCTTCCAGGGGAGGAGAGAAGAGTGTTAGTGCACGAACGGCCAGCTGGGGGACAGGCAGGAGTGGGTGTGGAGGGACATGAGGCAGAAGAAGGTCAGCACAGCAGCTGGTGGGGGGATGGCCCCCAGAGACGCCCACACCCAAAGCCCCAGAACCTGTGAGCAGGTCACCTCACTGGTCAAAGGGGTCCTGCAGGAGGGATGGGCCAAGGATCTTGAGATGGGGTGATTATCCTGGATTATCCAGGTGGGCCCAGTGACACAAGGGCCCTCATGTGGATTTGGGGGCAGAGTCACGGAGATTCGGAAATGCTGTGCTGCTGGCTGTGCAGGGAGGATGGGGCCACAAGCCCAGGGACATGAGCAGCTCCTAGAAGCTGGAGAAGGCAGCAGAATGGGCTCTCTGGAGGCTCCAGAAGGATAAGATGGAGAAGGTGTATTATTGTGAGCCACCCAGTCTGCATTGATGGTGACAGCAGCAAGAGGAAGTAAATACAATGGGTGTTCTGGAGCTGGGGTGGTGTGTGTTTTCAGGTGGATCTAATTTGGGGGCAATGGGAGGGGTGTGAGGTTCGAGGAGGAAGGCAGGTTCCCACGTGAATTCCCATGAGGTACCTGGAGCCAAGAAGGGGCCATAGTGTCGGGACGTGCTATGGGGACGGCACTGGTATCTGCCCTGACACCAGCACTGCGCGTCATCACTCTTGAATGGAACAGTCAGGGGTGAGAGTGGGCAGGGGAGGCTCTTTGGTCAGGAGAGAGCAACAGCAGGGAACCTGGAAAGTCTGAGCATTTCTAGAGGCTGTGAGGACGCGCACCAATGTAACGTAACTGAGCTCTATGAAACTTTAGCAGTCGGCACGTGCTGGTGCTACGAGGGCTTGGGCTCTGAGCTGCCCCCACATTGAGCAGGGCCGAGGTGAGGTCCCCAGGACACTGATGGGTTTTACAAACCTGTGATCTTAACGTGTCCTTCTTCATCCAGCAGGATGCTGAAAGACAGGAGAGAAAACAGATGCTTTACAAGAAGCCTGGTGGCGGGGGGCTGACCTGGGGGCACAGCGGGCCAGGCTGGGGAGCAGTCCCCACATGGAGTCGCCGGCCACGTGCAGACGTGGGCTTCGGGATTTACAGCAGCTTCTGCTGGGTCACGAGTGGATTCAGATTCTTGGTGTTTGGGGTTAACGAGGCAAAAGCTGGGATCTGCAGGTTCGAGACCTTCTTTAGCCCACAGGAAGGTTCAGGAACCCTTCGGACCGTCCTGCATGAGGAACGTGATTGAGAGGGTCCAGGATGGCCTCGGCCTGTGGGGATCTGGAGCCTCTGGAATTTTTCCTCATCCAGGCAGGCCCTCAATGGCCAGGGGCACGCTCTTTCTTCCCACCACCTCTCTGTGAGCCCCACCCTGCCTCTCGGGACTGATCCAAGGTCTGCTGGGAAGCCTATGCTACCTGGGGCCTCCACATCAAGGAGGCTTGGCGCTCTGCGGGCTTCACCTTGTCATAGGTGCAAGCGTTTGTCCCACCGGCGTCTGACACGAGAGCATCAGCCTACAGGGCGTGTCGGCCCTGCTCTTCCTAGCTCTCCTATGGGAGGGCGCCCCTCACTGCGGGCAGAGCGAGAGACACAGGCCAGCACCTGGGGAAGCCCTTCTTCCAGGCTGTGAGCCCTCAGGGTTCCCAGGGCTCCTAGACTTCCATTTCTTTATTTTTGCTGTAATTAAATCCTGTCCCATCAGCTCCTGGGGGTGCTAGTCCAGCCTTAAAGAGACCAGGAAGTAGAATGGAGAGAAACCACAGCAAGGCCTCGAGGATTCATACGGGCTGCCTTAAACAGGGAGAGTAGTGATGTGCTGACACATGAGCACACGGATGGACCTGAGGACAAGGTGCTGAGTGCCGTGAGCCACGCGCAACAGAGGAAACGTATATTCCACTTAGACGGGGGACCTAGCGCGGTCATATCCATAGAGGCAGAACGTCAAGGGTGCCAGGGGCTGAGCGGGGAGGTGCAGGGGGCGTGAGCATCTCACAGAGACAGAGTTTCAGTTTTGTAAGATGCAAAGAGTTTGGAAAACGGGCAGCACTGGTGGACGCTCGGCGACACGAGTGTGTATAAGGCCCCAGAGCCACATACCCAACAAAGGGCCAAGGTGCTCATTTTCTAGGGGCGCCTGGGTGGCTCAGTAGGTTGGGCCTGTGCCTTTGGCTCAGGTCATGATCTCAGGTTCCTGGGATCGAGCCCCACGTCGGGCTCTCTGCTCAGTGGGGAGCCTGCCCCTCCTGTCGCTCTGCCTACTTGTGATCTCTCTGTCAAATAAATGAATAAAATCTTAAAAAAAAAAAAAGCAGTACTCTTTTTTAAAAAGGTGCTAATTTTCTACTGTTTTTCTTAGCACAATTAAAAAAATCTGCCATGGGATCGCAAAGAAAAAAAAAGAGAGAGAGAGAGACCTACTATTTTATTGAAACGTGAAGGAAAATGTTAGAGTGCATCATTAAGATGACAATTTGTCAAGAAAGAGGTGAATGTTTTCATCTTTGCTTTTCAGTTTGACTTAATCTTTGCCCAGAAACGAGCAGCTTTCAAGATGAATTCCCTGCTAATTCTATTTGACAACAAAATTTTCTTTCTCCAAGTCTGTGATGAAACCTTACCATCTTTAACTGTAAAGATCCCTCTGACCTTTAAAGAGAGAGCAAAGCAGGGAGCACACCTCCCAGGAGCCTGGGGCTCACAGCTCTGAGATCAGCCTCCCGAGACCGCTTGCCGGGGGAAGCAGCGGCATCTGACAGGCTACCGTTCTCCCCACGGGGACGCTGAACATAGGGCCTTGTGCAATTATTGGGGCCCTGATGGACGTGTGTGGCCAGTGATGTTCGACTGGGGCGAACTGCTGTGGGTCGTATGTCAAAGCCCCGCGGGATGAGAGCGTCCCGCTGGTGTGGGACAAACGCGCTCTGCATCCTGTGTGGACACACGCTGCCCAGACGCTTCCCGTAAGCGACCACCACGTCCAGCAAACATGGCAGCCGGGAGACTGTCCTTTCCTCAGCGCGGTGCCCATGAAAGAGGAAGAGCTGAGGGGCTCGGGCTGCAAGCCCCCTTTCCGAGCCCTCGGTGACGAGTTGGCCTGCAGGTACGGGCTGCCGTGGGCCCAGAGCTGATGTCCCACCAGGCTCTACCAGGGGTACTCGTGGACCTCGGCCTTGGTGGGTGGAATCCAATGGTCTCATGGGGTAGTGGATCCCGAGTGAGAAAATCAGCGACTTCGCCTTCGGGACTATGGTCAGTCAGTCCTACTGAACCCAACATAGTGTCCACCAGTCCTACTGCTTTGTGTCAGCTCGACACGGGATATGAGAAAAAGCCTGAAATGGAAACTGTGATTTTGGAGGGAATTTCATCTTTCAGTTGAGGACAGGTTGCTCAAATATCCTACAATGTTGGGGAGGATCACCGCCAAAGACAGGCAAAATCTCCCTGGAAGATCTGGGGAACCCGTCCCACCATCCTTTAGAAAACCTCTGCACAGCTCGTCTGACGGCCACCAGAGACGGCCCGTGGGAGTCTTGGGAGGGCTTCTGGGCTCTGCGGGCGGACGGCACAGAAGGGGCCAGGGTGGAAGAGACAAGCCAGCTTCGAGGCGGCCACACCTGAGGCTTCCGCACAGCAGGAGGAGTGGGGGGTGCCCCCGCCTGCCCGGCCTTCTCTGCACAGTGGGGACAGGGCCTGGCCTGCCCCAGAGCGTTGTTACGAGGACCAGGCGAGAGGCGCAGCTGGGAACGGCTGTACCGACCCGCGCCAGCCACACCTGTCCGGGCACCGTGTCGGGGCGAGCAGGCGGGGCCCGCGGGGGTCCCGCAGGAGGAGGGCCCCAGCCTACTGCCTGCTGTGCACCCCCACGGGGGAGTCAGACAGGGGCAGCAAGAAGGGGGGCGTGGAGGCGGCGTCTTCCCACTTACTTCTCAGGCTTCAGGTCTCTGTAGATGATCCCCAGGCCATGGAGGTGGTCCAAAGCCAAGGCCAGCTCAGCCAGGTAGAACTTGACATCCTCCTCGGTGAACATCACCTAGGAAGACAGAACACGGTCGCTGGGCTTAGTCTGTGGCTGGTCTGTCCTGAAGAACTCTGCCAGACGACATCAGAGTCACCCGCCAAGTGACTCGACTCGGTTCTGCTCTGTGGAGGGTCGCGGGCTCCCCCACCCTGCCCTGCGGCTCTGACAAAGGCGACAGGAGCTCCTTCCGGTCTGGGGATCAGGGAAGGCAGAAGAGCCGTTCCCTACAAAGATGGCTCGATTAGCCCGTAAGTGGGGCACTCAGTCGCCTCCTCCTCCCACCCCAGGCATCATGGAGCTCTGGGCTGTATTTCTGGGTTGAGATTCTATACGAGCGGCTGAGAGGGACCCGTGGGCGGCAGGGTCTCTGAGCCGGCATCCAGGTTCAGGCGAGCGGATATATACACCAGGCCAGGTGCCCAGCACCCGTCAGAGGCATCGTCTGGGGGACGTTTCTGCACCTCCTGTGCTTGGTGATATTTAAAGCTGCCATACTAGAAAGCCAGGTTGCTATCACAAGCCAGTTTTCCATCCACCGTGAGAAATCAGTGTCACTGATGTGACTCCTGAATCCCCTCTGTGCACGCAGACACAGGAAGAACCACTGTGACGCCACTGGCTGCCTGGGGCGCGCAGAGTTAGCATAGGGGCCGTCTGGGGAACTGGATGGCGACCAGGTCAGGCGGGCGCAGGCGGAACACGGGGCGCTTCCCATGGGGGCAAGGACTCACGGTTGCCCCGTGGTCCTGGGTGGTCACCTCGGGGACCTGCCAACCCTCACTGCCCTTCTGGCCTCTGAAACCTCCTGTTCCAGATCCCGTGCTCAACAGTCTCCCTTCCTGGCTGGGAGATTGGTTAACGTAGTCTGCCGGCTGACGTGGAGTCTGGTCCTGCGAGCGGTCATACTCTCTCAACTGCCTTTTTCTGTCTCTGGATCCAGCCCGGCTGGTCTGCGGGTCTGTGCTCAGACCGCTTTGCCACTCGTTGAGTTCCTGGGGCACATCTCACGATCGTCCCCATGTACGAGTGACAAAGAGCCTCTGTGCAGAAATGAAACACCCCACCATGCGCGTCCCTGAAGGACGTCAGTACAGGGACCCATACACGGCAGGATGCGGTCCGATGGCCTTGCTGAAAGAGGACGGAAAGAGGACACTTTCCCACGTCGTTCCCGAGCATCTGGTGCGCCCACACTTGACGACTTTGCCTTTATTCCGAGATAAAGGGTGTTATGGGAGACGCACGTTCCCCTTGGGAGGTCCTACCGTGTTTTTTGCTAATTACTGTTGCCTTTTGGTCAGGAAGCCCAATGACAGTGTGGGTCATGTCAGATGCTAGACAAAACCAAAGCCCACGTGGCCTGAGAGGGGAAGGGAAATCGATACTTATCGGGGGAGAGACTGGCAGGGGCCAATAGTTTTGCATCTTTGGGAACATGTGAGCAAAGCAGGCTCCAGACACCTGCTCCAGAAGGGCTCTTGGTTCAAGCAGGATCTGACGGCCCCGCCTGTATTGCAAGGACCCCGGTATATCAGTTGTGCGCGGTCTGAGGGACCCTTAAAAACTGGGGAGAGAAGGAGAGAGGGAGAGAGCTGCCCATGGGCCCTGGGACTCCTCCGGCTCTACTTTGATCTTTTGCTGACTTTGGAGTCCATGCAGGATAGAAGGATCTCCTGGCCATAAAGTGGGAGGGCCAGAGAAGGGGAGAGGACAACTTGAACACACTGTCACAGGCAAGTAAACCAGGCTGTGCTGGGTGAGACGGCCCCAGAGGGATGGGAGACCTGGGCAAGGTGCCGCCCCGACGTGCCACCGCCTTCCTCACCGTGGAAGGTGAAGGAACCGCTCAGAGTCGCTGGCACTTAAGCCCTGTGCTGTTGGGGTCTGAAGCAGAAGACTGGCTTTTTCCATGCCGCTAAGCAGAGAGCTCTTCACATCTGTTAGGGGCCAGAGAGCTATCGTGTTCTCCTGGGTGACATTCTGGAAAATTCCTTGTCAGGACTGTGGTCGAGGACAAGCCCCAGGCTGGAAGCAGTCATGGAGACCTCCTCTCCCACGGGGAGGCTCGACTAGACGTTCTGGAAGCACATCCCGCACGTGTGGGGAGCATGCTCACAGCACCTTCCCACGACGGGGAGTGAGATGCTGGGGAACAGTGTCCCCAGCGCTACTATAAGCCCGTCTCTGCTTTCATCCGCTCCCCATGGGGCAGTGCACACAGCGCGGGGGTCGGTGCTCCCAGTGCCCGGAAGCACCTGTTTGCTCCCCGTCTTTCACAGACAACAGATCGCGTCTCCGTGTGACCTTGCAACTTCTCTAAAACAGATGCACACATTCATGCACACACACACACGTTCACACCATGGAACCCCCACAGCACGGACAACACACGCTCACACTCAACGTGCACACCATGCACACACTCTCTCACACACTCAGCATGCACACTGACCTCGCACATGCTCTCACATGTATTGATGGCACGTGCACCGCACACAGACCTCCCCCGAGCTTCACCCCGCGTACCTCTTTGGAGAGCCGGCTGAAGAGGTCCCCTCCCCGTAGGAAGTCCAGGATCAGGTAGAGCTTTCCTTCCGTCTGAAAGGCTGTGGAAGGAGGGTGGGTTGGTATCTCAGGGGGCCCGGAACTCGAGTGGGCGGCAGCACCATACGTTCCAGAAAGAGGACTGTAGCTGGGCGGGGGGGGGGCCCTTATTGGGGCAGAACTCCGGGAAAGGGTTGGCAGGAATGAGTCTGTGTCCCCCACTTTCATTAAGTCTAGAGGGTCACCCCCCCTTCTTTCTTCTCCTCTCCTTCCCTATCCTCTTCCCTTTTTAATCACAGAAGGGATGGAAGATCCACGGAGGCACAGATCTGCTCCAACCTTCTCTGGCTACTGCCACCACCCATGCTGGGCTCTGGGCACCACCGGCCTTCTGGCGAGGAGCCGGATGATGGCCCTGACCCAGTGTGGGCAAGGCTCCTGCCCTCTATAGGGCTGTACCGTAGACAGCTCCAGCTCAAGGAACTCCATCATGTGGTCCCTTCCCTCCCAGAGGCATCGGTGACCATCAGCCCCAGGCATAATGGCACATGGGGCCCCTGTTGTAGGTCTGAGCCGTGATGACGGGCCCACTGTTCATGCTTCTCATGTTGCCCACCGTTTAGCCAGGGGCGCCTGGCTTTCTAAAAGAAAACACTAGAAACATGATACGTGTTAGGGTTTTAGAGACCGATAACCTCTAACCAAAAAATCCTTGTCAGAATTGTATAAAGTATGGATTCAATCCTCTCTCCTAGGGCTTGACAGGCAGAGGGAAAGCAAGTGTCTTCTGCTCAACCACAGAGCCGACATGGAAGACACATTTAGAAATCCTTGAAAGAGGCTGGTTCTTCCTCAGAGAACCCCCCCCGCCAACAAGCAACTGCAGTGACACAGGGGTCTGGATCTGACAGCCGCAGCTGCGCAGTGGCCCAGGTGGCCGTGGGAGGGGAGCGGTCAGCCTCCCTGGGCGGCTTTGAGACAGAGCTTGGGCACCTGTCTGCAGCCACCGGGCCTTTCAGCAAATTCACACGCACCGTCGCTCTTACCAGCTTTGAAAGGACAAGACACACATGTTCTATGGGGACTGAAGTGTTTTCTGAGTAATCAGGAGGTGACCAGCAAAGAGCGAGAAGCCTCTGCCCTCCTACCTCTGGGCATGGCTCACACATTTGCTTCCTTCCAATCTGTGACAATTTCGCTGACAAACCCCCACACCCAGCGCCTTTGAAACCAACAAGATAGGTTTTTTTCCTCCCCTGTATTTCCCTCATATTAATTATTTGATAGGATAGTAAGTGTTAATGCCCTCTGGCACCCCTCATTCATTATTTTTAGTTTGAAGATTTCACTGCTTCCCCGAGGAGGGCAACGACAGAAAGCAAACTCTGAGGAGTTTGTGAGGTGCCACAGGTACGTGACCAAGAATAACAATTATTTGATTGTGTCTCATTTCTATTCTAGGAAACAGAAACAGTAACCTCCCCTGATAGAAAGTTTTGAGGGTTCAATGAGCTACTCTCTTTAAAATGTTGGAAACAAAATATTCACTTAAAATATGAAGCTGATGCCATTCTGGTTAAAGAAATTATTGGGTCATGAAGCATTTTCTTCTAAAACAACACAAAAATATGTCACAGATTCACCTCAATCTAGGCCAAGATACCTTTTATTATTATTATTATTTTACTACTTTATCAATGATAATTTTCTTAGTAGCAAAGTATAGCCCCCTCACTTTAGTCTCTGGTTAAAACAGGGGATCTTCTCCCTCAGAGAGGACAAGTGCAGAAGAGATTACGGGCTGCAGTGGGTAGGCAGCACCTTGCCTCACAAGCCGGGCCCTGTGATAGAAGGGCTCTTCTCCTGACCTAGTGTTGTTTCATTTTCCTTGGATTTGGGGAAGGTTGCTTAGGTCCTCTCAAAAGTAGGTTATGTTTCACTCTATTTACCATAATGAAGCTTCACAATGAAAGGGTGATTCACTTCTGCCAAAATGTCTCTCTCCATCTTTGATCTCACTCGGTCCCGAACTGCAAAACAGAAACACAAAGGCTTTCAAGAGACAGGGATGGGGTTCTAGAGAACACGGAACATAAAACATTAGCTACAAATAACCTCCCCCAACGTTTTGTTACAACACTTTTCAAACAGACACAAAAGCTGAAATAGTAGGATAATGATGGCCCTTAAATTGTCCACCTAGAGTCAACACCTGTCGTCTTTCTGCCACATTTGCTTTCCTTCTGGGTCTTTCTCTGTCTCTGTGTCTCTCTCTTCACACTTACACACATCATAGCCAAAACTCTGACACAAAATCATGGGCACCGTGACATTTGACTCTTAGCTGTGTTTGTGAGCAGCATTTTCTAGGAGTAAGGACAGTCCCTTACTGAGCCTCTGACATGACTGTCACCTCAAAGAAAATTGACAATCGCCCCACAACATCATCCAGTACCCAATCCACATTCAACATCGTCATCAACAGCCGTTAGTTTCCCCAATGGGGGAGCCTGTCACGGTTCACACGTTCCCTTTGGTTGGTATATTTCTTTATTCTAGACTAGAATGGCCCCACAGTTTTTTGTTTTGTCTTGTTTTTTCCATGTTTTGTGGACTTTGTGGTCAGGCCAGGCCAGCTTCTTATAGACTGTTCCATGTTCTGGGTTTGTCTGATTGGTGCTTAACCAGCGGCTCTAAGTTCTTTATTCCCACAAACTGAGGTTAGGTCTGGAGGCTTTACAAGACTGAGGTAAACATCACCAAGCGTCTCTGAGGTGATGCCGTGCACTTCAGATCGAGTAGATGGGCTGTGCATGATGCGGGACCCTCTCTGGATGACACTAAACTTGATGGAGTGATTAAAGTGACAAGTCATCAGTCTCTTACTATAAAGACCTGTGGGTCCCTTTGTAAGTAATAAGTCACCCGCAGGGTGCTGTTGAGTATGGAGTGAGCTACGGGCCCTACCGCTCCTCCATCCAAGAGTGTTAGCATATGCTTATGAACGACCCTGGCTTGGGTCATTAAGGGCTACAAAATGGCGGTCTTCTCATTTCTGACAGACCTGGAAATCAAGAGGAAGATTGCTTCTCTCTATCCCTGAGGACAAGTAGGCACTAGGGACTTTTAAAAAAGTAGTGTGTTTCAATCAATTACATTATTATTCTTTTTGCTGCTGACATTGTCCAAACTGTAGCCATCTGGGAATACAGACGGCATTCGTTTTGAGGCAAAAATAAACACGCCCAACAGGATCACCGCTTGAGAAGAAGAATAACCCCATAAGGATTCCCATAAGCACATCAATACACCAAGGGCAGTGACCTTGTACCATCCCACGAGCGCAGAGGGAGATCTCCTCCCAGAGTCCTATACGTGACCAGTGTAAGTATTGCTTTACCAGACCAGGCATTTAATTCATCCACATTTTGGCTTTGTGATACGTACTTTAAAAGTTTTCATTGGAGAAATGGTTCCCAAACAACGACTGTAATAAAAAAGGGGGGAAATGGCGAGCGCTGGGAAGGACGGAGCGGAAGTCGGAGCCCTCGCACAGAAGCCAGTGGAATGTGGAAAACAAAGCGCCTGTCCCTCCAACGGGAAAGCCAGGACTGCTGCACGACCCAGCAACTCCACTCCCAGGCTTACGTCCCGAAGCACGGAAGCCGGGCGCTCACACAGGTGCCCGCGCACCCGCGCTCCCAGCCACGTCGCTCACAACAGCCAGAGGAAAGGAGCCGAGCATCTGCCAGCGATGAGCAGGTACATGACAGGTGAGCAGGTATACGACGCGAGCTCCGTCCGGACGGTGGCGAGCTGCTCCTCCTTAAACGGGACTAGAATTCCGACGTGCGCCGCAGCCGGGAGGAGCCCTGAACACGCCACACGGAGCCAAACCCGCCGGACGCTGTGGATCGAAGACTCTAGGGCTCTGTCCCCGTGGGGTCCCTTCAGCTATCAGACTCCAGGAGACACATGGGGACGGGAGGGAGCCGGGGGCTGGCGCAGGGGCAGCGGACAGGCCTTCTGTTTGTGGAGCACAGTTTGGGGTCCAGAGAGTGGCTCGAAGGGTGTAATGCCACTTACAAGTGGTGACAACGGTCCGTACGCTGCTGCGTGCACTTCGGGACACTTAGAGGAAACAGACGTCCCTCACTGCTGGCCACGGGACGGCCTCCCGCCTCGGCTCTGCTTATGCTTCACCCTTGCTTCCAGTACCCACGCCCTCCGGGGCCCCCCTTCGCTCCAGGGCCATGGCCAAGTGCTCCTCGTCTGCCTGCTGGGGCAGGGCAGCCGCCGGCGACAGCGGCCCAGAGTGCGCAGCCTGGCTCTGTTGCTCAGCGGGCAGGCTGCTCTCACGAGGTCACGGGGACGGGGACGAGGGGCAGCGTGCAAATCCTCTCTGCATACCCCATGCTCGCGCTCTCTGGTGGAGTGGGCTTGACCAGGGACGCCCGGGGCTTTCTCTGATCTTCCTCTCAGTCCCCCGCTGGTCTGCTCCCGTACCAGCACCAGGCCCTGGTGCCACAGTGGCCTCAGTGTCCCTCAGGATCAGAAGCCGCGAGTTAGCAGGGAGGGCTGTGGGCAGAGCTGCAGGCCGCCCCATGGCACCAGCACTGCCCGGCCGTCTCCGCGCCCACACAGCCCCCAACTCCCAGCACCAGAGCACGAGGCAGGGGGTGGAGGGACCTGGCTCGCCATCGTCCATGCCCCGGGTGACACAAAGTGGGTCCTCCCCTGTCTGGGCCAGTGCAGTGGGACTGCACACTCCCCGGGCCTTAGGGAGCACGTCATCAAGCCCTGCGTTCACGGGAGAGCAGACAAGGCTCGCTGTAGAGAGAAGGTGGCCCAGGCCGGGCCAGATGGTGCCACAGCCTTTCCCGGAGTACATCTTGCTGGGGCCAAGGTACGCCATCGCTGCTGGAAACAGACTCCAGCCTCAAGGAGAACACAGACCCTCGGGACACAAAGGAGACCCAAAGCAGCCTCAGCTAGAAATGAGCTGTGGGCAAGGGCTGCGAGATGGGGACTGTCGCCCCAGGACCTGCGTGGAGCACGGTGCTCTGAGTGAAGTCGGTCCCTGGGCGTAAATGCAGCCTCGAATGGCCGAGCCGTGAGCCCCGGGTTCAGGTCCTGCTCTCCTTGGGGGTCGTGGTGATTGCGGGCAAGCCTTTTAGGAGGTTGGGGGGCAGGATCTCGTCTTGTCTTCCCGTTCATCATTTGTGAGTCACCGTCCGGGGAGCAAGGCTCTGCTCGGTGTCCATTCTCTCTTCCATGTAAACAGAAGATGGGCCATGGGACGGCGGAGGGGCGGGTGCCCAAGGCACAGCACAGGCTCCTCGTGAGGCGAGAAGACACCGACCCCAGGACACGGTCGGTGCCCCTGCTCCTCAGAAACGGGACCACCGGATGGCGAAGGCACAGTGCTCCCCACCTGATCTCGAGTTTCCTTCTCCTGCCCACTCTCTGTCCACTGTGTGTCCGTCTTCTCTGTGTGGCCCAAGGAAGCAAAACCGCGGACTGTCCCCAGTGAGGAAGTGTCCCCGCGGGAGCCACGGTGCGGACACGGCAGTGAGGGGCGCCCCCGGAGGCCTCTCTGTGCATGTGGGAGCCGGGACGGGGTCCGGAGAAGGAGGAGGGACGCTGAGGGGAAGGCAGAACTGTACGTTGCGGGCACGTCCCACCAGTGACCGTGGGGCCATGGGACTGTCCCTCCTAATGCAGTTAGAAGCCCTTCAAAGCTGCCCACTCTGTGCACCCACACATGTCCCCGTGCCCCAGGCCTGGGCCGCCTCCTCACAGAGAGGAGCTCGTCGCTGCCTCCGGGCGGCCTCCCGGGGGTGTCCCTTATCTCAGCAGAGCAGGCCAGGCTGACAGGGTCCAGGGGACCGCAGTCTCCTGTCCCCTGAGGTGTGTCCTCCTCTGGGAGAAGTCTCTGTCCCACTGGCCGTCCTCCAACAAGATCCGGGGACGCAGAGTAGCTAAGGAAGGGTCTCCACGTTCCACACCCGCCTAGCACCGCCTCACAAGGCTTAATCCTCAACGCTGGCTCAGAGCATCTAAAAATCTTCTAAATAGGGTTGATCTTATCATTGTCTGAGATCTGGTAGGCCTGAGGAAACCCGCTTAGCCATGTACCCAAATACTGTGTTGGCAATGGAAGCCAGCGGCCTAAGAAGCCTCAAGTGAAAAAATTAGAAAAAGATCTTACATTTAAATTTCTAAGGAACTGTCGAGTGATAGCGGAAAAAAATATGTATTTCCTCCCTACCTTTTACACAAATTCCAGATCTACTAAAGAGTTAAGTGTTAAAAAAAAATCAATCATGTTAATGACAACAAAGAGGAACGCCCATCCGACGTCCGGGCGGGAATCTGGTTCCTAAAATCGACAGAGAATGACACAGGGAAGGGGGAGAGATTGACTCACAAACGTGAGATCGTGACATTAAAAGGCCAGTAAAGCGCGGGGATGTTGCGTGAGGCAAACGGAGAGAAGGCCAGGAGGCTCCGTAAATGCAGGGGCCTTGAGGGATGGTAGAGACGAGCCACAGCTCCGGCGGGAGACGCATCCACACACCTGTGCCCCGACAGTGACTCCGCAGGTATGCACGGGTCCTCCAGGAGGCGGGAGGGACACTTAGAGGAAACAGACGTGCACACGGCGCCCATCTCGGTCAGTGCTGAGACAGCGTTCCTGACCGACCATGTCCCAGGACCCGCAGGGCAGTGGTTCCCCAGAGCGGTGCCCTTGGCCATGAACCCACGTGTGGGGTCCCCATGCTCTCCGGCTCTGTGGATTCCGTCCAACCGAGCAGAGCCCATGCTCTGCCCACCCTGATCCCTCTCCCTGCCCTGCTGGTCACTCTCGGGCCAGAGCCAGGGATGGCAGAAAGGCCTGGACGGGCGGCTCTGCCACTGGACAGGCAGCCACGGGGCATCCTGGCATGACAAAAGACGCAGGCACGGACAGCAAATGCGTCACCGTCTGGCACTGTCTCCAAGCTGCCTTTGGGACAGCTTAAGGCGC